CATTTAGAAAGCACCAACACAGATTCTGTTGACACCCTGTGGTAAGGTTTGTTCTTTCTTTTGTTCTCCATTTATTAAGACTTATTCTATGGCTGGCATTGAGTTCAGCACATGGAACAAGGAAGGCTCAGTTTTTGCTACATGAACTAGTCTGGAATAAGAAGCCTTGCATTGGTCATTATGAATATAATGTATGTTTCAATAAGGGATGCATGGTTCTGTGGGCACATTGAGCAGATGGAGATATTTCCACCAAAACCAGAAGACTGAGTAGGGGTTGAGCAGGTAGAGTGAATGGTTAGGTATGTTGGGGAAAGGAGAAAGAGGGAGAAAAAGGGAGGGAGGGAGAAAAAGAAAGAGCAAGAGATAGGAAGGAAGGATGGAAAGAACAAAGGAAGGAAGGAAAGATTGAAGGAAGGAGGAAGGAGGAAGGGGGGAAGAAAGGAAGAAAGACATGTGCATGTCTGTGTATACATATGTGTTGGAGGTCAGAAAGATTTTAGGCAGAGAAAAGGGTTTGTCCAAAGGCCAATGTGTTTAAAAATCTCAAAGGAGACTAGTTTGGCTGGAATGAAAATATTTTTTAAAAAATGAATTGATTGGTCTTAGAGGCTGGAGCTATGTTAAGCCATATTCAGGAGTTTGAATTAGACCATTCAGTTGGGGAAGACATGGGGCTGCATCTGTAAGATCAACCTGGCTGCTGGATGGAGAATCATTCAGGAAAGAGAAAAGGAGCCCATTGCAGAAACCTGTCAGCAGGACTAGTAGCTGCAGAAATGGAAAGAGAGAGGCATCTTTAGAGATCTTGGTGTTGGGACTGATAGGACATTAGGAATGAGAGCAGGGAAAGAACAGGCGTGGCCCTCAGGAGTCTGGCCTGGGCCACTGGCCTCATCCTCATGATACCACTTACTGAGCTCTGGGACATGGTAAATACTCATCCCACTAAGGACAATAAACTTAGGACAATAGTCATGGGGCTGTGTGGCATATCAAATTAAGCAAACGTAAAGGAAAATGGCAGGCATTGAACTCTGCAACTTACATTCAATTAGCTATTTATTAGTAGCTTCACCTTCTGCGAATTCTGTGAGAGGCACTGCTATCTCAGGGATACCACACTGGGTATGTTTAGTATTTTGCTCCTTTGTTCAGCAATTAGCACCACTCCTTCCTGTGAGCAAAGAGCTTCGCTTGATGCTGTGAGAGATACAGAGATGGTCTTATGTGGTTCCTGCTTCCAGGGAACATGGAGTCTGTTAAGAGTAGGATATTTGGGATCAGATAGCTTTTGGTAAAAGTTGTGGTACTCTTGGTCACAGGAGCAGCTCAGGGCTCTGCGAAGAGAGGAGTTATGTCAGCTAGGACATCAAAGAAGGACAAGGTGGCATTTGAGCAGAACCTTGATTTAGCCTGACACCCTCCAGCTGGGGCAGCTGGGGAGCTGAGGACTAGTGATAAAACATTAATGAACAAGTTTTTGTGAGGACATATATTTTCTTTTCTCTTGGATAATTACCCAGGAGTAGAATTGCTAGACTTACTGTACTCCATGTGTGGATGTTTGAGGAACTGCCAGACATTTAGAGGATTTTCTAGGTAGTGTTGCTGGTCAAGGCCACAGCGTGAAGTTGTGATCATTGCCTCTGCAGTAGGAGCACATTAGAGTTCTGGGCCTTTAGTTTTCTCATACTTTTGAGGCCCATTCTGTATTGTGTCAAACGTAACACATGCAACATACCCATAGCTCACAATGAATATTTTATACAACTATGTTAAGATTTGATAAATTGACACAGAGCTACATTTTTAGGTATTTGCTCCAATATCTATTAATTTCAGTTTTGAAGTTGTACGTTTTCTTTTTGTATGTCAGAGTCTCATGTTCACAGGTTCTAGATTTATGCTGTCAGTGTGGTCACCTCTGCCCATAGATGGCTATTAAACCTTTGAAGTGTGACAAGTGTGGCTGAGGTACTTAACATTTAATCTTATTTAATTCACTTTAATTTGAAGACCAGTAATTCAGTTATGGGGAAACTTTTAAGAATGCTTGGAATAAATTGGACAGAAATTTTTCTTTTCAACTGTAAATTATCTGATAAAAATAAATGATATGCACTATAAGTGTAAAAGACATACTGGATTTTGAGGACAATACAAAAAGACTGTAAAATATCAATTTTTGTATTAAATTACATGTTAAAATTGTGGAACTTTAGATAGTCTATTTTAAGTAGAGATATATTACTAACATATTATTTTTCCTTCTTTTTTTCTTTTCATGTGGCCATTAGAAAACTTAAATTTACATGTGAGGCCTTCCCTGCCCTAAAGGTTGTATGACAGTACCTACTGATGAAAGTAGCTCGAGTTTGAAGTCTGCCTCCCAGCAGCCTATCAGGAGACCAGGTGTGGTGATGCACATCTGTAATTCCAGCAATGAGGGAAGAGGCAGAGGGTTGTGAACAGACATATATATTTACTAATTCACTTATAGATAATGCTCACATGATCATTTCTGTTCCCATTACTTTCTCAAGTTCATTCTCTAATCTGGAAGCATTTTTTAGTCCATATTACATCAAACCTACATTTTAACTTTGACCTTTTATTTTTTCAATATTTAATCTTTCCCCTCCCAGGAGCTCAGCTCAGTTACTTGTATCTTCCTTTATTGCATCAAGGAAAGTTACATTATTCTCCTCAAATAAATCTCTCTTGCCTTAAGTTAAATAAATACACACCACTAATTTTGTTACTTGTATCCTCTCATGGCATTTTCTAGCTGTTTAGCATTAGCTCATCAAAAATGCCTGACTCCTAATATACATTCAACTGGTGTGTTCTTAATGAGTTGCTGAAGGTTTTTGTAGCTGTGTTTTATGTTTGAATCCTGAAACTCCACTAACTTCATAGCATAGGAATTCTCTTTGTTCATCATCTTCTAGGTATGTCCTCATTTGCTATTAAAAAAAAATGCCAGGTGCAGTGGCTCACACCTATATCCTAGCTACTTGGAAGGCAGAGATTGGGAAGATTGCAGTTTGAGGACAGCCCCAGGCAAAAAGTTTGCAAGACCCCCCCCCCCGCCCCGTCTCAATTAATAGAAAACTGAATGTAGTGGTGCATACCTGTTATCTCAGCTCTGCAGAAGCATAAATAGGAGGATCTTGGTCCAAGGCTAACCTGGGCTTAAATGCAAGATCCTATTTGAAAAGTGGCAATTAAAGAAAAAAAAGAAAAGTAAAAAGGGCTGGGGGCATGAGAGTGACCACCTAGCAAACACTAGGCCCTGAGTTCAAATCCTACTACTGCGGGGGGGTGGGAGGCAGGCAGTATCCATTTTCTATGCTTTTTGCTATTACTATCATTTTTCCTTCCCCAATAAAGTATAAGTTTTTCTCTTGCAATATTAAGTAGTAATTATCCTGTTGCTTTTCTTTAATGAACACAAGTGTTGGTCTTTTCCTTCCAGTGTAGCATATTCTATTGTATTTAGAAAGGCCTTTTTATAGGTGGTTTTTTGGTTTTTGTTTCTTATGAGCAGCAGTATCTTGCTATGTTGCCTAGGCTGGCCTTGAACTCCTGGGCTCAACCAATCTTCCTGCCTCAGCCTTCCAAGTCGTTGGGAATCCAGGTGCATGTCTACATACTCTGAAGCTCTACAAACATTAAAAGCTATAAGGAATAGGTCTGAGTTTTCCTCCGAGTTGATTTTCATAGCTCGCTGCATTTTCCCTTGTGTTAGGTCTCTGCTCACCCCGCTCAGTATTACCATGTGCTTACCTAGAGGAAATCTCTCTGCTCCCAGTCCATGTGGCTTACGTCGTCTCAGAGCTTCAGTCCGCTTATCAATCTGAGGGGCTCCTCGATAGACAGTGCCATGATGCACAGGAGGCATGCACTTAGACTTGTCACATGCATTTTGGGCTCATGAGATGGTTTTTCATACTTCCTGATTCTTGTTGAAATGTGTGGTCGTGATAAAGGACAGAGGTGATTTTGAGAAAAGTGAAGTCCTGCTGCATTAGGCAGAGTTCCTGACAGTGTTTAGTAAATGGATGAGGACAAATGATGGGTTTTAACTACAAAGCCCTGAAGGAGCTGTGATTTCTCCATGTTTCTGTTGTTTATAATGGCAATAAACACCTTGTCCCATCTTTATTTGACCTTCCTCAGAAAGAACCACTGACTCTCAGGAGGGAAAAAAATCATTAGCATGCACAAAATGAAAAATAGCTCATGATTTGCTTTGTGGTTTTAAGAGATAGAAAATACAGCTTTCACCTTACCTGCTTTTAGATACAGAGTGAACACATATGTTTCTAGAGATTAATATAGAGGGAGTCTTGCTATCTGGAATTTCATATTCAATCCTCACCATTACAAAGTTTAAAGCAAAGCAAAATTTATCATAAAGCAAAAAAAAAAAATTACCAGAGAAATAATCCATCTATAAGATTAACTATCATCAAACATCTAAACAGAACAACTCTTCCTTCCTATTTTCCATCCATGTTTTACCTCTCCTCTACTTCTGCTCAAGCAGTGCCTCTTGCCTGGACTGCTTATCCATCCGTATGTCCATCTGTCTGTCCATTCATTGATTCTCTAAACAGCATATTGCTGTCTATGTGCCAGGATCTGAGCTGTTCAGCTGTCCTCTAGACACCTCTCAAGGTACAGCAAATCCTACCTCTTCCAGGCAGCAAATATACCCTGAATTCCCCATCCCTTGCCCCACAAAGTGAAAACTTCTCACCTCCTCTGATGCACATGCACCTCACAACCTCTCTTCTGGAGCACAGTTCTACTTGGTGTTGTAACTAGTGCTTTTTGTGGCCTGGCCCTTGTCAAGGGGAGCATTGGTGACTGCTCAGCTCCACCTCTTTCTCCATCACATCTAGAGCTGACCCAGTTGGTGGCCACCATCTGGAACCCCCCTTTCCCTTTCCCTTTTTTTTTTTTTTTTTAACATTCTCCTTCTCTTCCAGGGCTAAAGTTGCTGCAGCTGATGGGCCTCCTGGGACCCCAACACAGGCCCTCACTCCTGTGAGGCACACAGTAAAGATAGACAGAGATGCCCTCCTCCAGGACTATGGATTTCACATTTCTGAGAACCTTCCTCTCACAGTGGTGGCTGTCACAGCAGGTAGGGCCTGATGGGGAAATATGAAATAAATTGGTTTCTTAGGAAAAGTAGCCCTGGTTCTCTTCCTGTGTATCTGTCCTATAACAAAAAACTTCCTCTTACCCCAGGAGGTTGGAAAATTCTGACCTCATTCTGTCTTGGGCTTTCTACCTTCTTTTGGTGCCAGGAAGGAGGAGGCCTCCAAGAGCACTTGCTGCTCTGAGCCCCAGACTCCCACTGGCCTTGACCAGGGCTCTGCCTTCCCACAGCTCCCTGGCCAGTCTCAGGGGCAGTGAAAGTATTTGGATAAGCCCGCCCTCTCCTCTTTGAATGCTGCAGGCTCCTAGCTGGTGAGTTTCTGGGCAGACAGTAATAGAAACTATTGATTTGTTTTCACTTGAGTCTTTGTGAGATATAGGCTGTGCTGGGGTGGAGAGAAGCAGGCTGGGAAAGCCCAGTGTTTGTTTACATACTTGAGCTGTGTATTGATGTTAGATCTGGGACAAGTTAAAATATATTAATTCTATTTTACACTTGCAGGTGTGCACACACACTCACATACATACCAGAGTTCTTTAGAGATAAAGATAAGAAAGTTTTTCTTTCTCAGGATAGTCTCCTAAATATCCCTGGAAATTGATGGATGATAGATACATTATTTATGGTTTGCAAATAGGAAAACTAAGATCCATGTGAGACAGTGCCCAAGGAATTCAGACTGCCATTCAGCTGTGACAATGTGACACATGGGATCTGGGTCCTCCTGGCCTGAGCACCGATTCCTTATTTTCCATGTAACAGGAGGCTCCGCGCATGGCAAGCTTTTCCCTGGTGATCAGATCCTCCAAATGAACAATGAACCTGCCGAAGACCTGTCCTGTGAAAGAGCAGTCGATATTCTGAGGTATTAAATTGTCTTCTATCACTCGGAGCTGTGCAGATGATCATACAGCCACAGAATGGTGGGCAATAGGAATGGCATAACAGTTCTTGTGACTTTAGGAAGGTCCAGTGTCCTCTAAAGCAATAAGAGCAGCCTCGTCTTAGAGTTCTAATTCTGTCAAGTAAGATGGCTTCACAGTGGTGGCTGTTCCTGTTTGCTCTTCTTCCCCCACCTACAGAAAAACTTGGCAAGCACAGAGTGTTTCCTTCTCAGACCCCTGCCATGCCCAAAGATACTGTGCTAGGCACTGTGGTGACAGTACTGATTATATCATATAGGCCCTCCCCTCTAGGATTGACAGGCTTGTAATACATGCCAAAGATGGAATGAAATTGATGCCAAAATGCTTTTGTTGTTCTTTAACCCTTTTGGTATCTCCTCTTAAATGTATAACCTGTTTGGCATATATGTATTTTTATTGACATAGCACTTACAACCTGGTGTCATTGAGGTTTGTGTAAATCTATCACATTCTGTCTAGACCATGATCTTCTGAGCCCAGAACAGGCACAGTGTGGGTGCTGAGCTGGGTGGGTGAATATGGTTAGCACTGGAATGGAAATCGCACTTTAAAGATGGAGGAATGTCAGTGATGGGAGGAAAAAGAACTAATAAACAGTGGATAGGCGTATACAGGCTTTAGCTTTTAAATTTTTCACTCAACACTGCTTTAATGACCTTAATGTAAATAGAGAGAGATGAGAAACAGAGGCAGGTGAAAGCTTGCCTGAAGATACACCTGTACCTGTCTTTGTGCCTTTCTGTGTGATGGCTGGCTTGGCTTTGGCCTGGTGTGCATTTCTGAGGGCACATTGCCCACAGCACATACTGAGCAATGGGTAATAACCTCAGGGCAGAGAAATAGAAAACAAAGGTGCAGAGTGCAGTCTCTACCCTCAGGAAGCACAGCTCACTATGGAGACACAGAGGCAGGTGAGCACATGCGCACACACACTCACGCAACATGGAATTTAATTAAAGATTTATAGAGAATCTGCTGGGCACTGTGGCTCACACCTGGAATCCTAGCTGCTTGGGAGGTTGAAATCAGGAGCATGGTTTGAGGCTACCCTAGGCAAATAGTCTCGAGATTCCCCATCTCAACATAACTAGACCAAAAATGGAATGGAGGTGTGGCTCAAGCGGTAGAGCACCTTCTTTGCAAGCATGCAGCCCTGAGCTCAAACCCCAGTCCTACCAGAAAGAAAGGAAGAAAGAAAGAGAGAGAAAGAGAGAGGGGGGAGAGGGGGTGGAGAGAGATTGGGAGAGAGAGAGAGGGAGGAAGGAGGAAGGAAGGAATGAAGGAGAGGAGAGAAAGAGGAAGGAAGGAAGGGAGGGAGGGAGGAAGGAAAGAAACAGAGGAGATGGGCCATAAACACTGAAGATTCCTCCAGCTTAGGAGGAAGTTGTAGGTTGACAAAGCAGAGGTGGTCTGGAAGTAATTCAGCTGCACCTTTGTGCTGGTAGAGATGGAGGTGGAGGGTGATCCAGGCCATGTGATAAGCTGGAAACAGGATTAGGAGCAGAGGTTGCTGAGCAGTGAAACCCAGATGGAGGAGGGGCCTAGATGCCAACATAGCAGATCCCACTGTCCCCCAGGGGGGCCAGCCACTGTGGACTTCTAAGCAGGAGTACAACTTGAAGTGTGCTGTGCATCTCTCTGTGCCCTGTGCCGTGGTTTGCATGTGGGAACCCCACCCAGCATTGCTTTTTTTTTTAAGCTTAGTTCCCAGTGTCTAGAAGCAGCATTGTAACTTGTAAAGGAGGGAAAAAAAAAAACAAAACAAAGCAAAACAAAATGATTCAACAATGGCAACACAACCTGTCTAATTCCTCCAAATATCTGCAAAGCCAAAGTGTCCTTTTGACATTATTGGACCTTGGTTTATATGATTTACCTCAGAAAAGGCTTATACCCACATGAAATGGAAAAGAGGCAATCCTGCAACACTTAAAAACCTCAGGTTGAGTTTATCCATTAGAGGAAATAACACAAACTCCATTGGCCTAAATGTTTATATTACAGGACAAATAAAATTACTTTGCAAAATGCTTCTTTATGTAGCAAGGCAAAGAGAAATAAAAATGGATCAATCCCATGGTCCTGTCTGCTAATAGCACACACCTGTAATCCCAGCACTCTGGAGGCAGAGGTAGGAAAATCATGAGACCAGCCTGGACTATATAGGAAAACAGAGACAGAGAGAGAGAGGGAGAGAGAGGGAGGGAGAGAGGGAGGAGTTTGGCAGTTATCTGGTTGATCTGATCACTTGAAATCTATAAGGATAATACAAGACACATATCTGATACCTTAATTATATGTTTGGGGTTGTTAACACTGGCTTTGTGCACCCAGACACCATAAACTTGTTGGCTTTTATCTGATCCATGTTATCTACAGACATTCATTCTATGTAATAAAATGTTTAGCTTAAGTTTTTTTGAAATAACAACCTAACTTACCTGTATTATTGTCATGTTTTCTTTAAAAATCAGTTTTGGCCATAAGACTAGCTTGTATCAACTGGGATGAGCTCTCCATCATATGAGACTCAATGAAGGGCCCTAACTTAGTGGCTGTAGGTATAGACAGATTGTGGAGATGGGTGTCTGCAGACTCCCTCAAGGGGAAAGGGGTACTCTGGGCCCTTACAGATCACTGCTTTCCCAATGTCCTTCTCAATTTTGCTGAACCAAAGAAGCCAGTGTGGAAGAGGCTGTTTTGTCGTAAGCTGCCAGTGTTCTATATACATACACAGCACAGAACAACTAATGGTTTTGTCTTTATTCTTTTTTTCAGGGAAGCTGAAGATTCTCTTTCCATCACAGTTATTCGCTGCACATCGGTAAATCTCTTTCTCTGTCTCATGTATTAGTTTCACCGTTCTTGGCCCCAACAGGAAGATATTTCTCATGAAATAAGCAGGAAAGGTAAAAAGCAGAGGGTGGCCAGGCAGTGGGTGGCCAGTCAATGCTCCTGCTCTTGGGTACCATGGTGAAAACATGTGATCTGGGCCTCAAGAACTTCCAGAGACAGACCTGTGCTATGTGGCATGGGATGATGGAAAGGCCACTGAAAGGGGAGTTTCGAGACAGGTTTAAGTATCATGACTTTTGGCAAGTTCTATTCTCACTTTTGTAAAATAGTGGGGATGACAGTTGCTGCCTGGTTTGTCTAATGGGTTACCCTGTGGACCAAATGAGGTGTTTTATCAGCTCAGGCTTACCACAGGCCAGCTATGGTAGAAATGAGGCAAAGGGAGGGCACGCCAATCCTGACCCACCACAGGCCAAGGGGCCCTTTATTTACAAGGAACAGTATTTGATCCAGCTGTAAGAGCAAAAACTACCAAGGAGGAAAAAGCAACAGACAATTCTTTGTGAGAGATTTTAATGCAAACTTGTCAGCCTTGTCTGCAAACAGACAAACAGAAGAAAAAGAAAAGAGGGGGGGGACACAAAAAATTTTTACACTCTAATAATCTAATGTAATTGACCAAGCACCAGGCCGCCAAGAAAATGCAAAAACTTCTCAAATAAAAAACTGTACAGGGCTGAACATGGCATTGCATACCTGTAATCCCAGCATTCAGGAGGCTGAGGCAGAAGATCACAAATTCAAGGCCAGCCTGGGCTACATCACAAGACCCTGTCTCAAAGAAAAAAGCATCATACAAAAACTGTAGAGATCCCTTTTCCTGATTATAATTTAAAGTGGAAACTAATAACTGTCAAAATTTAATTAAAATCATCCAGCCACTTGGAAATAAAAAATGCAGCTTACTGAAGATGGAGTCAAGTGGAAAAACAAAACTATCATTATTTACTGTTTACACAGTAATTAAAAATTAGAACTCTGCTTCTTAAAATCTATTATGTGCCATCAAAGCCATACTCAGGGTAAAATTCATAGCCTTAAGTGTTTTTTTATTATTTAATAAGGAACTAGATCAATTAAATATTCAAGGCAAGAAATTGAAAGAAAATGCTAATAAAACTAATAAGATTGAAAATAATAAAAGGCAAATCTAAATGATGCTTCTGAAAATCCAAGAGCTAGTTCTTCACAGGGAAAAGTTATAAAACAGGAAAATCTTAAGGAAAAGAAATATGTGAGTCTTGTGAAGGATAGCAAAAACATGAGATCCCACCTGAAAAATAACTAAAGCAAAAAGTGCTGGAGGCATAGCTCAAGTGGCAGAGCACCTGCCTAGCAAGCATGAGGCCCTGAGTTCAAACCCCAGGACCACAATGAGGATGACCTTGATGTGCAGATTTAAAAACTAATAATTAAAGCAGTATGCTATTGGTGAGATGTTGAATACATCAATGTAATTAAGAAATTGAAGAATAGATACTTGAAAAAAAAATAGATGTGTGTGTAAATAAACATGGCATTCCAAACCAATGGGAGAAAAAGTAATTATTCAAAAAACTGAGGATTTGGCTCAAGTGGTAGAGTGCCTGCCTAGCAAGTGTGAAGCCCTGAATTCAAACTCCAGCTCTGTTTAAAAAAAAAGAAAAGAAAGAAATTATACTTGACATTTCTTTAAGTATTTGGGAGAAATACAGTCTCACACCATGTGGTGTTATAGAACTTAAATATAAAAACATATCTTAAAATGTAAACAACACGGACGGGTATCCATTGAGTAATAGGTTGTAAAAAGCCTTCCTGTGTAGACAGAGTGCAGGAAGACGCACAAAGGAACAGGTAGCTATTTGGTTATGCAAAAATATAAAAAACTCTGTGGTCCAAACACTTCACCAGCAAAGAAATGTTCTCCTCTCCTTACTTGACAAGTATTATCTTTTGCTTTATTTCTTTAAAATAGTGTAGGAAAAAAATTGACTTAGGATTAAGATGTTTGCCATAAACATGACAGACCAAGTGTTTTATGCACAATAATTGGAGGTTTTTCTCTTCTAAACAGTTTGTCTATGAAATAATGTGAAACCAATATAAAAACAGGGACTGCTAATCAGAATAAATGGCAGTGCAGGTGGTAAGCCATTCTTTTTATTTAGCTGATTATCATCTCAATGGGAAACATCTTAATCTTAATTAGGTAGGGTTTTTTTTCCCTACTGCCTTTCCAAGAAATGAGCAAAATAAAACACTTGGTAAGTGAGGAGCTGGGAAAACAGCAGATAGTACATTCATTTAAAAAAAAAAAAAAAAAAACCAACTGAAAAGTAGGAGAAGAAAGTTGCTGTGTTCCAGTACCACTCCTGAGTCCCGCAGAACTTCCAGGAAGAGGGAATGTTAATAACCGCGCTCTGGAGGACCAGGGGAAAACCAGTATTAGCCCTGCCTCTCAGAAATGCCCTGAATGTTGGCCGCTCCAGGGCCTTCCACCAGAAGTGTCCTGAAACATTTTACAGACACTGCAACATGATCATCTATGTCTTGTTTCAGCCAGGAAGGCTCATTACGGTCAGAGTAGATTCTTAAGGTCCTCCAATGACTTGAAATTGCTTAAGAATTATAAAATCCAAAGTTAAATATGGATTCCTACTTCCCTAGGACATAGAATTTTATAGAAAAATACATCTTGGTTTAATTTTGCAAACCTGCATTTGCTTATATAAACTATATATTATTTTAATAATATTAATACTAATTGTTAATGTGTTATTTAATTTTCACCAAAAGGAAATCCTACAAGGCAAATACACTCATTATCCCCTGTTTGCAGATGAGGACACTGTGGCCTCCACACTCATTGTCTCCTATCCAGAGATCAGTGGGACTGGGCTATTTTCTAGGTAGTTAAACTCTAGAACCTACACTTATTAATATCATGCTATTTTACCTCCTTAAACCCTGCTGTTTTCATAAAATGACAAAGGAGATCAAGGGGTTGGGGTATTGAAAAAGATGTGGAAATGTTTTTCATCTAGTTCCTTTTAATGTGCTTTTAAGCATTATCTCTTCAGCAAAAATGCACACAGAGATTGTATTAGCCTGGATCTGCTGCTCTCTGATAAATTAATTCAGAATCCTGGGAGAGCTTAGAAGTCCCAGAATAATGGATAACTCAGTCTTTAAATTTCTCTTTAAAATATTAGCTGGCCAAAGAGTGCTTCGGTAGGAGGTTTACAATATGTTCTGCTACCTGGGTAGCAGTGCTGACTTTCCAATGTAAAAATGTAGGCGCCACCATAGGACCAGTGAGTTGGACATTTCCATGACACAGAATGTATTCTTCCTCACAGCAGCCAGTTTCATGTTGGGTGTTTCCTAATGCAATGGAGGCCCTTCTTGCCTGTGAATAGTCCTAGTTCAAAACAAGTCTACCTTGTCTGAAATTGTTCTTCCAAGATTTGGAAGCATGGCCTTCTTTTCTTCAGGCTAAACAACTCTTCCTCAGATGTGTTTTTGTGAGTTCTCACTTCCCTGCTAGTCTTCTGTTCAGATTCCAATTTCATTGTGACCCTTGCAAATGTTGGATCCCAGATAGGAACACATATCCACCAGTACCAAAGAGTACCAAGGGGAATGGAGGGTGCTTTTCTGACCTGCATCAAGAATGCTAGTGAAGCCTAAGATTGAATTTACCTTGTGGCAAGCCCAACCACACTATAGAATTGAGTGAAATTTGTAAAGAAATACTGAACTGGTTTTCAAATGAATAGCTTCCAAGCCAGCACCCTCCCCACCAGCCCACCCTCATATGTCACACTTGTGCAGTTGATTTTTTTGATCCTCAATGCTATACTTCACATGAATCCTTATCAAGTCATGTTGCTTGGGCCCAGCATTCTGGTGTGCTGTGATTTTATAGTCAGGGAAACACAGGGCTGAAAGGCTTATTAGGACAGTCATCAGCTGGAGTCATTCTCCCTTCATGTCAAGGAACCTCCTCTTCCCAAGTCTTCTAGTTCCTACCCAGTTAATTTTCTTTACCATAATCCAGCTTTAGGCCTGACTGTTGCAGAAATGCCCTCCCTAGGGTGAGAGACAACAATGGTTGGCTCCTGCAGATTCCTTTTCTCTCTGTCGTGCCCCTGGTTTCTTACTCCTTTGGGTGTGTAGGGTGGTGATGTTTGTACCTATTGCTTTGACTACTCATTTCTCTCTGTTCCCTTCAGCTCTTAACATCTCTGTATCTGCTACATCCTCTTATGTTTGTTGTGATTTCTTGGCCTTTGACCCATAGTTTCTCCTATTCATGTTTCTTGCACTCTTTTGGATTCCTAGGGTTTTTTTTAATCTTTCCTCCCAATTTCTGCTGCTGGAGATCTGATGACACTCTTCAGTATCGTATCATTCATAGATTTTGTAAATTCATTTTCTCTGACTTCATCGAAGGCATTGCTAAACATCATTGGTAAGAATTGAGCCAAAGGGAATCTGAGTTGTTTAGATAGAACTCAGGGCTGTTGAGCTGGGGTGTAGCTTGGGGATAGAGCACTTACCTAGCATGTATAAGTTCCTAGGTTTGATCCCTAACACTGGAAAAAAAAAAACCAAACAACTATTTTGAGTATAGGTCAACCAGTTTTGAATCCACCTAATGGTTCTGCATCTGGCCTTCTCCACAGGGGGATTATAGGAGAGATTATCAAATGGTTTGCAAGAATGAAGGAATACTACTATATCCACAGGACCCTGGCCTACCAATCTGGAATCCTATCTTCAAAAGAAAAATGAATTTGGTTGGCTCTGACTTGTTCTTGGTAACTTCACATTAGTCATTGGCGATCACTGTCTAAAAGCTCTCTGATCATCTCTTATCTTAGATTTTGCCAAGAATTAGTGACAAGCTTACTAGTATATGTTTTCCTGAATCCTCAATATTCAATGAGACCATCTTTAGCCTCTCTGATCTTGGATGATGTCAGCTATTACTTACGAACCCCCTAGATTCACCTGGGATAGGAGTCTTACACTCATTTGAAGCAGTCTGGTAGTCTGGTAGTTTTGGATTGTAACTTTCTCTTCCCCTATTTTTTTTCTATTCCTTCTGATTGGAAGACCAGTAATTTCTATAGGTGTACTTCTCTGCAACCACTGCCGTGTCTCCTACTAAATATTTTTGTTGTTATTGTTGTGTTAAAGCAAATTATACATTTGAGGTAATGAATCATAGTTATATAGCTGGTCGCCCCAAAGTTCTAGTTGCCAATGAGATGATTATCTTCTTGAATTAAAAATTCAGGGTCATTTGTCCATTTCAGAATTGGCCTATTTATAGCTGAGTCTATGAGCATTATTTCCAGCAATTTAATTTCCCTGATCCCTGTCAGCTGCCTATTATGTGGCCCAGGGCTCCATCACAGGACTCCTACCCATGTAAACGTTCTAGAGGCTGGCCTAAAGGGCCATCCAGACTAAGGGAACATAGCATGCTAGGCTAGAAAATAGTGTATTGAGATTTCATCCAGGAAGATCACATCCCGTTGGTCTAGACCATATAAGATACTACTCACCAAATGTCACAATTTGGCCTGACAGTCCAAGGGCTTCACCAGATACTCATAATGAACTGATAATGAATCTTTCTACCTCTGGAGAAAGAGGGTACACCCACAAGAGAAAAGAGGGGCTAATGCAAATCACAGGGCTCAGAGCTTCAGGCAGCAGCCCTGTCTAACTCCCACACTGGCTAAATGGGAAGACTTAAAGCCAGAGAAGGGTAAACACACACACACACACACACACACACACACACACACACCCTCTCTGGTTTTCTTTCATAGGAATTTGTGTTTGAGGTAGTTCTCACAACTGTTAAGTAGCAGAACTTGAGGTTGAAATTCAGGTCTCCTCCTCCACAGGCCAGTTCTCTTTATCATCATCATATTATAGCCATTTTGCTCCCGATTTTAATTTTCAGTTATTCAGACACGTAAGAACATGGTTTGGGTTGGGATTCCTAGATCTCAGGAAAAGAGATCTTTAAATGGAATGTCGTTCTTCCTGTGGGTTTTAATCAAATCTACACCAGCCGTCAAAGTGTTGTGTGTTTTTTTTTTTTTTTTTAAGAAATAAGATATACGTGACTTTTATGCATATGCTGTTCACTAACATCTTTCAGGGAGTACCCAAGTCATCCTTCCTGACTGAAGAGAAGAGGGCCAGGCTGAAGACCAACCCTGTGAAGGTGCACTTTGCTGAGGAAGTGCTGGTCAGTGGACATAGCCAGGTGTGTCATTGGCCAGAGATGAAATACTACTCTTGGTGAGGCTGGTGAGCTGCCTTCTGGCACATGACTCCCTGTAACTCTGGAACCCTCAGTACAGAAGGGATACAGAGGGAATGTGTGCATTTGCTAGAGCCTTTGTACCCCCTTTCAGTAAGATGCCTGCAGACCCTGGGCAAGGAAGGCTCGCAGGGGCTCTGGGTAATGAGTGGGACAAGGGAGAAACCCTGGGTGTGGCTCTTTTAATCTGTGACAACATTTTCTTGCCTTTGAAATTTCTACACATTTCGGTAATTAACTTCTCATTATGAATCTTCAAACTCATTCCTTCTGAAGGTGAAATATTAATAATAGAGGTGACAGTGGTGGAGATTTTTTTTTTAAAGAACCCATAATCTACTGAACCTCTGTTATGTGCCCCCAAACTGTCTGTGTACCTAATCCTCCCCTGCAAGGGAGATGTTCTAACAAAAGAGCAAGCAGAATCTTAGAGAGATACAGAGAATTAACCACTAAGATCACATATTAAGAAAAGACAGAAGCCTGGTCTATGTGATTTCACTTCTTTTGTTTTTCGCTAAGGCATGCTGTCTAGTCTTTTTTGCTATAGAGTGAGCCAAGTTTGATGGGAGATGGAGGGATATAAAGGGAAGCTAGAGTTTGTTTTTAATGGGATTTGTTGGATAAATCTTCCTTTATTCGTAATTTATACGATTACTATAAAATTGTATAAATTTTAACACAATTCAGATACTGTAAGTAGTATCTGAATTTAGCAATTGATACTAGATTTTGAAACTTTCGAGTCAACCCTGAGTGGTGAAGTTAGGGAGGATCTGCTCTCCAAACAAGGCAAGGCCAAATAAATGGCCAAGAACGGGAATGCCCCGGGGAAGGAAGGTTGTATTAGAGACACAACACTATTCTTGTGTTTTCCAGGGCTCTAAACTGGTTTAGAGTTTTGGTAGGAATGGACAGTATAGAGGAATGGGGTTCTTAAAAAGATCTCTCTGGGTAAACTTGCAGTTTGGGGCTCCTAGGGGAATTTGTGGGAGTCTCTACATGTACCACAAAAGGCAGAGAGCAAAACCAGTGAGTCCATCATTGTGAGCTGCCTGTTTATCCTCTCCAGTGTTTAAAAGGTGATAAAACTGGTGGTTAAACGGTTCCCCTTGAAAAATGCTAAGACTGCCTCGGGGTGCACAATCACTCTAGAAGAATCTAGAGTAGTAAACCCGCATTGGAATTGTGTTTAACTTTACTCACAGTTAAAGAAATGAAAAGGAAAATATTATGAAGCGATACTTCGTGCTTAGTAAATGAGCACAGCTAAGGAAGACCATAAGCCTAGTGCTTAGGAAAGAAATACCTGTAGTCACATACTAAGTGGCGGCTTCGTAAATCAGTTTAGTTTTTTTGGCTGGATAGAAGCACAACTGAATGACTGCCATAGAAAGTGGCACAGGATTGCTTTCCTAATAATTTAGAATATAAAACCATTTAAATGCAAAAACCCATATATTTAAAGATATCAATAGTATCAATATTTTAAATAGCCAAAAAAAAAAAAGTGAAACTGCTAAATGTCTAGGGAAGAGGAATGGTTACATCAATTCTGAGACTTGAATTCAATAGAATATTACAAAGCCATTGAAATTATAGACATTAAGCTCGTGTTAAAATTGTATTGAAATATGTGTTGGGTTTTTTTTTAAAAAAGGAGCAAAGAATAAGTGCATATTCTGTTTTTGCAGCTCTTTAAAAGCTATGTACAAACATAGACAAAGATTGGAAGAAGCCTGAAAGAAAAGTAATGGTAGTTGTGTGATGTGATAATGGATGTGTCTTTTTGTAAACCTTTTAAATCACAAATTGTAAAGTACTAAGGAAAAAAATTCCCCATGTGGGAAATCCAACAATTAAGGTTTCTAAACACTTAAGGTCAGAGAAATGAGATTACAGCAGAGGGAATGGTTTGAAATCCCTCATCCTGACTGAGTATGAAGTGATGCTAGCATATGACTGTATTCCTTTTTCTCCATAAAAACACTGTGGTTAAAAAACCAAAGTTAGAGAGAACAGTGGTTTTCGTGAGACTTGCTTAGATGACACAAGCACCCTTCTGTTTAGAAGATTGAGATTTTCACGGGGAAAGATTGTACTTCTTTACCCAGGTGGGCTTTTTGCCCAAACTCTTTATGGAGATAAGAGCTGGGTCCAGTTCTAGTCAGATCTTGGTGACTCTAAGATCTCTTTGCTGGTTCTCAAGGACCCCAGCCCCAAGGTCTCTTTCTACTTGCAGCTCAAACATTCAAAGATGATTTTTTATGAGAGTTGGCCCTGGGGACACGCTCTGACACCCCTGCCACCCTCTGGAATTCTTGCTAGCATGGGATCACCAAAGACCAGCACCATGCTTGCTTCCCCTAATTCCCAGCAAGAGTGGCAGAGTCTCTTGGAGATTTGGCAAATCTGAGGTGATAGATGGGGTGAGTGGAGGTGGAGGGGCTCCCTCTGCCCTTTGGTGAGATTTCCCTATAGGGAATATAACAGTAAAATGGGGGTGGGGGAAAGTTTAATCTCTTAAGAGAGCATTCTGCCCTCCATGTTAACCTCACAAGGTAAGGAGCCAAGAATCTCTGAAAGGCCCAATTTGGAGGGCACACACGCTCGTCTTCTTCTTTGCCAAATTGCGTCCCATAAGAGTGGCAACCACAAGAGACATGTCAGGTGACAGTCTTGAGACACTGCACAGGCTCCTACAATGCTATCAGTATACCATGGCCGGGCTTACTCTCCCCCACCACTCATAATATCTATGAGTTCTCACGTGTGTCCCTTGACAAAGTGTACCTGTCCTTTGGAGAAATTCCCAAATGCCAAGCAACAACCGTCCTAACCGTGATGAGGTTAGGATGGATCCTGCTTTCCAAACCTGGCCAGGTCAAAAGGCTGAGGATGGGCACACCCAGGGGGAGGAAGGGTGTATCAGGGACACACAGTGCTGCTCTTGTGTTTTCCAGGGTAACTCTCTGCTGTGTATGCCCAACGTGCTCAAGCTGTACTTGGAGAATGGACAGACCAAAGCTTTCAAGTTTGAGGCAAACACAACCGTGAAGGTATTAAAAGTAAACTTGAGGGCTTGAGGCATGGCTCAAATGGTAAAGCACTTGCCTAGCAGGCATAAAGCTCCGAGTACAAACCCCAGTACTGACACACACACACACAAAAAGTAAACTTTGAAGGTTTTTTCTCTAGGTCCTTGGTTATTACTGGATCTAACTGGGCTTAGCTGGGGGCGACTGAAGATTTTAGAAAAGACACAAGATAGACAGACAGAAAGTTGGGGTCAGGTGTGTTGTACTCTTGGCTGGAGACACACACCCTCATTGCTTCTCTTTATCTTGATTCTTTAAGGCCTTACCCCTTGCAGTTATTTAAAACCTTGCTTAAAACCTCGTTCCTTAGGCTCCCACTATCCCATGTTTGCTCTCAGCTTATCTTTAGCTTAATCGCTCTTAAAGTCTTTTTCCCCCAAGCTTGCACTGTCTCATCTCTCTTTAGCTCTCTCAAAGCCTTGGTGCTCAAACTTGCAAACCAGCAGCTGCACCTAAAAACTGCATATGCATAACTCTTAAGGTCTCTATCCTTAGACTTGCACTGTGCACTGTATCGTGTTCTCGTTGGCTTTTCTTTAGCTTTAGCTTTCCTAAGACCTATGTATGAAGTTCTTTCTCAGCTTTGCTCTCTGAAGCCTGTGTTAAAGTTCTTGGTGCAGACTTTCTATCAACCCCTCTTTAGCATTTCTTTTCCCTGCAACAAATTCTTTTCCCTTCATCAATTTTTCCCTTCAATAATTCTTTTCCCTTCCAAAAGCTTCCCACACCAAAAAGCTCAAAGTAAAATCTTCTTCCTAATATTCAAAGGCAAAAAGCACCCCTCCCCCCAAAGCAAAAAGCCAAAAGCCAAGCCAAAAGTTCAGAAGTCCAAAAGTAAAGCCCTGAAAGGCAAAGGCCCCTTTACCTCCTTCTTTTATAGCAGTAAACAGGGTGGCGCCATGGGGAGGGGAGTGACATTATGACAGGAGAAACCTGTGTTCCTGCTTCTCTGAACACAACTTAGGAGACGCAGGTCTTCTGCCTTTCCCTGTTTGGTGTCAGGGGCTGTGCCTATCTCGGCCTACAGGTAAAAGCAATTAATTGCATCTTGCCTTGCTTGTGTCCAGTTCTCATAGGCTTTAATCCGCTCCCCACAAACTTGAACCTCTTTCTCAGGAGAATCTATGGCTCCAACGACCCCCAGCCATCTTGTCCTGAATCTATCTGCCTTGACAGTCCCTCAACTACCATGGTGTGAGCACCTGTGATAAGCAAGGAACTCATTTAGTTGCAGAACCATCCAGAAAGATGGTGTTTATAGCACTTCTTGCAGTGGAGGAACAAGGAGAGGTGAAGTGACTTGCCCAAGATTGTATTACAACTCCTAAGCATTTACCCTTTACTACTGGGCCTCCCTGACACTTGTCGGTTACTCCACCTGCTATCCAAACACTAGAGGGGCTAAAAACCCAGGCACCATATGGGAACAGGCCTGGCCCTGCATATTCTGTTTTACTTAACAAGCTCCTCCGCTTGAGATGCTCTGACAAGTTACCGAGCCTGGTAAATGGCGGCTGCTGCAGGAAACTGCAGTCTAGTTGAGGGATAGTGACATTTCTGGAGCTCCCAATAGTATGGGGCAGGATAAAATGAGGGCTGTAAAGAGAAGGGTCAGGAAGCACTGTGTATGCCAGGTAGAGGACCATCTTTTCCATGCTGTCTGGACATTGGTCAAGGCTGGGGAAAGAAACCACACTTGAGCTGAGCTGTGAAGGGCTGCTAAGATTTCAACATGAGCAGGCAGGGACAGGGAAGTTGGAGGGTGGGGCACACATCAGTCCATGCAAGTCGCAGAAACTAATGCAAAGAGGAGAAAGGCAGGCATTGTTCAGCCAATCATGAATGATACTGCAGGAGCACAGGCTGTTTTCTTAGGGGGACCATGTGGAGTGGCCACAGAGAGCCTCCAGTGGCAGGCAGCGGAGCTTGGATTTCATCCATAGACAAGGAGGGATGGTACTAATAGTTCTTGAACAAGAGAAGAAATGCTATTAGAGTAAGACTGCAGTGAAGAAGTAAACCATTAAGGTTGTTCAAGCATTAAAAACCATGTAAGAGTAAACATGGAACTCAACTCTTTTTGGCCTGGGGGAAGAGCAGGTTCTGGTGGCCCAATGCAGTATAGGTAAAGGACCAGAGCTGAGACACATACACATACACACATATACACAAGCCATGTGCCTAGTGTTTCTTTCTGCCACTTATCTCTGGCAATTCCTCAAGCTACTCCAAATGTCCTATCCTGTTCCTACCTCAGCGTAACGTAGGAGAAGCTAGAGAAAGTGCTCTGAACTCAGGAAGCTCCAAGCCAGAGTAGGGCCAGGAGGGAGACATGGATTGTGTTTACTGCATGCCAGTTACTTTCCAGGGTACTTCCTGTATGTTATCTTATTTAATGTCCCAATAACCTTGTGAAGTGACTAGAGTTTTCCCCACTTTGTAGATGAAAAAAGGTACCCCAGAGGTCTAAAGCTTGCCCAGGTCCTGTAACTCATAACTGCTTCAAACTTCAACTCTCTGCTGAAGCCTGCCACTCTGCATAAAAAGGGAAGCTTTGCAAGTGACTCAGACAAGGGTTCTACTTCTGTCATCTTTGATCAAAGTAAATTAAGATGGAAAGGTTGATTTATTTAAAGTGAGGCACCCTTTCGTGGTCAAAAACCACTTTGAAGTGGTTTACAATAAAAGTTCACATCAAAGGGGAATTAAACCCAAGAAGATAGCAAGTTGGGGGAGTGAATGAGGACTTAGCCAGTGTAATACTGGTTAATCTTACTTATCTGTAGTAGCCAAATTTTATAAAGCAAATCTCTTAGTACTTTATAACACAGAGAGAAACAGATCTAAATCAGTCCCATAAGTGAGAAAAGAGCAGTGTCAGTACATCAGGGACTTCCCTTTTCCTCCCCTTTTCCAAGGGAGAAAAGCTCTTGTATCAGAAGACTCCTTTTCTAAATCAAAGAAAAGAAGGTGTCATTTGACCCAATGAACATTGACTGACACTTTTTGCATGCCAGGTATTTCTGCATCACTTGGCTGTTTGTGATAGAGAAGTCACTTGCCTAGGATTGCACTCTTAGGGAGCCTAGAGTATTGGGGTGGTGCTAGGTGAGGACAGCTCACTGTAAGACAAGGCACTATGTGCATAGGACCATAAAAGTGGGACAGAAATGGCATGGTACAGGCTCAGAGAGAGGGAGCTTCCAGCCGGGTGGTAAGGAAGGGCCTCTGGAAAACTATGGTCTACATGGCAGACATGGAAAGGTGAATGGGATTTTGACAGTAATGGGCCTTTAGATGTGAGAAACATCACCAACAAAGACCTGGGATAGGCACATATGGCAAGTGTAGAAGGTTTGAGAGAAGGGTACTTTGGGAAAAATTGCAGAAGATAAAGTGAGAGAAGTAGGCTGACACTTGACACTTGAGAGCCTTCAATATTAAGCTGTGGAGTTTGGATTTTGGACAGTAAACCATGGAGAACCACTGAATGTTCTTCAGCAAAGGAAAAAATGACTGATATAAACCTTACACAAGTTCCTCTAGATCAGGATTCAGCAAACTATTTTTGTAAAAGGCCAGATAATAAATATTTTAGCTTTTGCAGACCGTCTGTCTGTCTCTGTTAGTAATTCATTTCTCTGTTGTAGCAAATGGACATGGCTTTGTTCCCATGAAACTTTAATCACACAAATAGGCAGTGGGCTAAACTTTGTCAACCCCTGCTCTGTATGCAAAGTGGAGGACAGATGAGTAGCAGGAGAGGCCATAGGACAATATTCTACAAAGCCAGGAGAAATATGTGAGTTCTAGCCAAGGTAGGGGCAGGAGAACGGAGAAGGGACAGAGTCAAGAGGGAGCCTCTCCATCATGGTTAGCAGAATGCCTGGCACATAGTAGGTGCAGAATTAATGCTGGTAAGCTGCAGAAACAGATGGCCTCTTCAAGACTTAGTCACTGGTTAGTTATGGATAGTGATGGGACCAAGCAGAGAAGGTAAAGTTTCACTGAGCATCTACTTGGTGCCAAGCATTGGATATATAATGGAGCCCAAGACAGGCAAGGTCCAGATTCTCAAGGAGTTACTGTCTATTGGGGTGAAAGACAGTGTTAGCAGCTAGCATATATCGAATACTTACCATCTACTAGGTACTATTCTAAGTGCCTTATGTGGGGAAATTAGTTTAATGTATACAACAATCCAATGAGATAGGTGTTGATATTGTTACCATTTTACAGATGAAAACACTAAGGCATAGAGAATAAGTAATTTGTCCAGGGACATACAGCTAGTAAGTGGCAGTCTAGGTCTAGAACTTACTTTCTTAATTTTGGTATAGTGCCTTTTACTAAAGAACGTAACGGATATTAAAGAAATCAATATTAAGTAATGATGAAGGAGATAAACAGAGCCCTGGAACAGAGGATAACAGGACAGGCACATTTAGATAGAGTTGCCAAAGATGACCTGTCCGAAGAGATGAATGTTAAGCTCAAGCTTGAAGGGAGAGAAGCAGCTTTGTGAAAGTGATGGGAAAAGTGTACAAGGCAGAAGGAATGCCAAGGCATTCACCATAGTGAACAAGGGCAAGTGTGGCCTTGCAACTATATGCCTTCATGCGGCGTTAGCTGTTATCCCATGCTGTCAGCCGCTCTGAGAAAGAGGTATCATCATCTTCCATGTCACCTTCCCAAAGTCACACACGAGATGGCTGATGGGATTCTGTCTAGAAAGCAGTTGATGATACAGACTGGTGACTCTGGAGAGGGGATGGATCCCCAGACTCTGAGAAGAGAGACAGAAGCACTCCCTATGACTTTAGCCTTCCGAGTGGTGCATGAGAGGGTAGCCATGCAGGTGGCGTTGGAACCTGAGGAGGGGAGCAGTGATATAAGGCCACTCAGGCCCAGCATACACTGGCGGTGGACCTATCAGCACAGGCTTTTCCGTCCCCCGCGATACTGAGGAGCAGTGAGAAGTCTCCCACTTCTCAGGTGCCCCGTGCGTCTCTGTACTTGCCAGGACATCATCCTCACGGTAAAGGAGAAGCTGTCTATCCGAAGTATTGAGTACTTTGCGCTGGCTCTGGAAGAGCAGTACAGCATCTCACGGCTGCACCTGCTACACGAGGAGGAGCTCATCCAGCAGGTAGGGAGACCATGCACACTGTTCCAGGGAGGCCAGGGCTGGCTGCATGCCTCAGCCAGAACCTTTGGGGCCAGGGCTCAGCATGCCTGCAGGTTTGCTATGCTTTATGCCTACCTCTGCCTTTAGATAACAGGGGAAGAAGTAGGCTTGGTTCTCATCTTCTATAGGGTAGGCAGGGCACAGATTTAAGCTCCCCATTTTGCAGATGCAGAGATAGAGTCTTAGAGAGGCCAGTTGATTTTCTCAAAGAACCACAGCTGATAGAGCTGATAGATCTTTGTCTCCAGCTCTAATGAGCTTCCCTTGCACCTGCTGCCTTGGAGCTGTTAGGGAAGTGTTGGTTGTGTGCCCCAGTCACTTTGCGTGGGAGTTGGCCCACTGAGATGGTCCCAGTGGCAGGACAGGGCAAACAGCTGGTTTACCTGCACCATTCCATTGTTCAGTTACTCAGGAATTTGTTGTACCAACTTTTTTTTGGAGGGGGAGTGGTACTGGGATTTGAACTCAGGGCCTTGTGCTTGCTAGCTAGGGGTCTACCTGTTGAGCCACACCCCCAGACCTGTATCAACTTTTAAAAGCCAACTGCAGGTCAATGAAACAAATTCTTATTAGTGTGAGTGCAAGGGTTCACCAAGTGGAAATGGGGGAGGGCTTTGAAGCAGGAGTGCAGCATGAGGAAGGCATGACTACTGTGAAATCCCTCATTACATGTGAGTTCAAACTTCAGTCACTCACCTGTTAGAAGATTTGCTGCTTGCAGAATCTTTTTTATAATTACTTGTATTGCATTTGCATCAGGAAAGAAAATCAAATTAAATCCCTAACATAGTTGAAGTGAAAAAAAGTAAGGTACAGAATAGTATGCAGACTATATTGTTATATGTGGGAAAGAAAAGAATGTATGTATATTGAAGCAATTGCAGACCTTGCCATCTCTGAAGGGTTAGATACTGGAAATGGGACCTGGGAGATGAGTCAGTGGGAAACAATACCCTTTGAACCTTCTACATTTTGTATTCATGGGAAAGAGGACAGGAGCAAAGGTCTAGACAGTCCTGAGAAGTGCTAAAATAGAACCAGGGACTGTCTTTCATTGTCATTTTTCCTTTGTGAGGTTGTTTTGTAGGAGATCTTCAAGGTCAAAGGCAGTTAGAAGATTAACAGTGTCTTCTTTACCCCTGGCAGGTGGTAGAAAGAGAGGAGTCACATGACTCCCGCTGCCTCTTCAGGGTGTGTTTTGTTCCCAAGGACCCCCTGGATCTCCTGAAAGAAGACCCTGTGGCCTTTGAATACCTCTACCTGCAGGTGACTGCGATATTCTTCCTGAAATGATAGTATGCTCAAAGATGACATGGTGGGTTATTCTGAATGTGAGCTCCAGGCAGTTAAGCAACTGATAGGATTTATCTTTTTTTGAAGGAGAATGGGCCTGATTATCCCTCAGAATTCCCTATCCTGCTACTGAGTTGCTGTAATAGATTTGTAATTTAATAATGAAATTTAGGCTTAGTTCTCATGTGGATGATACATTTTCTAATACTATTTAAGGATCATTATCATTTCAGTTTCTTTTGCTCAAGGGGCTTTAGTGTGTCAGATCCTTATTTTACACATGATGAAACTGAGTCTTAGAAAGGTCATGTGGTTTTCCAAGGTCCCTACACAGTGGCAGAGCCAAAACCTGGTTGCTTGACCCCTTTGCCTGGTCTTCCCCTCTGCTCTATAATCTTGGGTAAGATGTATTATATCATTTTAACTTGGGCGAAAGAATCATTTGGGAGGTGTCACCAATTTAACAGAAGAGATAACATAGACTAGTTGGATTGTCTTGCCCAAAGTCTTACAGAAATGGTGTCAGGGAATAGTAATAGTAGCAACAGCAATGACATCATCAGTGCTTCACGTTTACTTGACACTGCATCCCTTCTGCCTGCTTTCGTAGGTATCATTTAATTTAAACCTCACAGAAACCATGCAAAGTAGATTTATTTGACTATCTTTCTTTAGCAACGGAAGACACCAATGCTTAGAAAGTCTTAGTAAGTTAACCAAGGTCACACAGCCAAGAACTGTCAGACTAGATCTCAAAGCCGAGCTCATGGTCCTGCTGCCTCCCACCTGAGAGAACTAGGAGACACAATATACCTGTTCTTATCTCCAACTGCTCTTTCTAATTTCTTGTAGAGCTGCAGTGATGTGCTCCAAGAGCGCTTTGCTGTGGAAATGAAATGCAGCTCTGCACTCCGCCTCGCGGCCCTGCACATCCAGGAGCGGATCTACGCATGTGCCCAGCCACAGAAGATCTCTTTGAAGTACATAGAGTGAGTGGCAGGGGACAGCAGCTGCACTGCATTTGTGACTCCACTGGCCCCTGGCCAAGACAGCCAGACTCTACAGAAAGCTGATATTCACCCACCTACCCATCTGTCCTTGTCTTTCCATCCATTTCCCTCTATATACCGTTTTTCCACCAGCCTGGCTCCCTCAGATGTCAGAGCCTGGCTGCTCCCTTTGGGCAGAAGCCAGCTCCAGATGGAATGACATAGGATCCCTTGTAAATTTCCAGTCCCTGGGAAGATGTCTTGAGCAATCAGTTGGCACCTTCAGTGTTAGGCTTTTCTAAGGGCAGGAATGTCTTGGAAACAAATTCTTTCTAAGGGTGTGAATCAATTCCTATTGCATTAGACTTCTGCTAGGGCAGCTTCAAGTCCCATGAACCCAATACGTCCTGATTTGTAGCTTAGAATGGCTCTGAGTGGCAACACTCAAGTTTGCTAAACAACTCCCCAAATCTTAGCTCTGTCTAAATAGCCATCCAAATCATATGGATAGTCAGATTTTTTAAAAATAGAGCAGACACTTGGTCCTACTCCTGATATACTGAGTCAAATCTCTAAGGAAAGGAGGCTGAGATGCTGAATTTTTAACAAGTTTTTTTTTTGGCGGTGGGGGGGTTGTTGATTTTGAGGCTGCTAGACTAATACCATTCTGAAGCTTAGCCTTAGGGATTCACAGGTGCTCTTGTGTTTGGGTTGCAAATATATCTCAGTGGCAGAGTACTTGCCTAGCATGTGCCAGGACTTGGGTTTGATCCCAGCACCACAAAAAAAAGTGTGTTGTACGTGCATGTTGTATGTACATATATATGGTCATGTCACTCATCTTGTTTTTAAATAGATTGAGAACCTTTGCTCTGATTAATGAAATATCACACCACACCAAGAGTAATCTGCTCCCAAAATGACCAGCAGTGTTTGATTCCCTGGATGGCTGTGGTGGTTTTTGTGGAATGTATGTGATGTGCATCTATGAGGTGGGGGTGGGATATTAGATCTATATCTGATTTATATCTATGTCTATATCCATATCTATCTGTCTATATAGATATCTATTCCCTCTACTGGAGAGAGGCTTATAATTGCTATATCATGGGAACATTAAATACTGAATTAAATGTAATTATGCTCTTTATTAGAATCAAGTACGCTGTAAAAATGGGTCTCCTTGTCTCCAATGTCTCGTGGCAGGAAAGACTGGGGAATAGAGAACTTTATATCGCCAACTTTACTCCGAAACATGAAAGGCAAAGACATCAAGAAAGCCATCAGTTTCCACATGAAGAGGAACCAGAATTTACTGGAACCCCGACAGAAGGTAATGTAGCTGCAGCCTCTGCCAACCCACCCAGCTGTCTGTTACGGAGCATCAGGGAAAACATTTTCAACATTGTCTGGATTTTAGGCAAGTGAATAACTCTGACTTCAACAATCTTTTTTTTTTTCTCTCTCTCTATTTAAGCAACTGATTTCTGCTGCTCAGCTACGTTTAAATTATCTACAGATCCTTGGGGAACTCAAGACATATGGTGGGAAAATCTTTAATGCTACTTTAATGGTATGTATCAGAGAACTGCTGACGTCCTGCTTCAACAGGACCTTGAAGGTTCTCTGCAAATCAGTGTATCTTTTAGTCTGAAATATGTCTGGGTATTTTGACAAGTTCTAAAATTTGTTTAGAAAACTAAATACAATGTCACTGGTGAGCGTTTATCAGGCCTTTGCTTAGTATGAGGCCTTGGAAGATGCTAGGTGAGGCAAAGCTAAATCAGATGTGTTTTCTTCCCTCAAGAATGAAACAAGCTAGAAGACGAAGCAAAGTCATGAGGCAGGCATAGGGCCATTTCTATGGGGTTGAATGACAAAGAGCACCACTGCTAATTTAGGTTGAGTCCAGGAAGGAGATGGCATTAAAGATGGGCAAGAAGGCTAGATGAGGCCAGACATCAGTATGGAAGAAGGACATTCTGGGCAACGGGTATTGTATGTGGTGCATTCTGAAGTTTTGGATAGGAAGGTGAAGAGGGAAAATTGGGACTCATGAAGGAATGATAGTCAGTCTTAGACTGAGTGTCAGGCTGGGGCCCAGATTGTTCAGAAGGGAAGAACTGAGGCATGGGCCTGAGAAAGAACAACAGAAGCAAAAGAATGCTCTGCTCTGGCCTCGTCTTCCTCCTGCTTCCTTTTGGAACCTAGGCCTATAGCATGTGCTTTTCAGTAGTCAGTTTCTGGGGGTGTGTTTTAAGAGAACTCTCCCACCATGCAGCCAGCCCCAGAACTCTCCAGCACAGAGCCAATTAAGCAGTAGACAGGTGTGTGTGTGTGTGTGTGTGTGTTTAATATTAGCAAAACTGCTTCAGAGGATTTAATGTGCTCTCAGTTTTTTCAGTGATGGGGCCATTTAATCAGAGTGCTGACCTAATAGCATAGGTAGAAGCAGGGAATCAGTGTTTTGAGAGAAAAGAACATCAGAAATGGGAAAATAGGTGGAGTCTTTGTATAAGGAAAAGCCCCCAAAGAGACTAAATCACAGAAAAGAAGAGTTTATTTATTTTTTTCTTTTGTTTTGTTTTGGTGACACAGGTTTGAACTTGGGGCCTCATGTTTACAAAGCAGGCACTCTTATCTCCTCAGCTATGCCTCCAGTCTGTTTTGCTCTGGTTATTTTGGAGATGGGTTCTTGCAAACTATTTGTCTGGGCTAACCTTGAATTATGATCCTCCCAATCTCAGCCTCCTAAGTACCTAGGATTACAGGCCTGGCCGCAAGGAAGGTTTTTGAAGGTACAAGAAAAACTTTCCAATGTTTTCAAGGGCTGGAGTTTCTGACCCCAGTCTCCCTTTACCTTCCTGTCTAAGGAAATAACTGATAATGGGAAAAGCAGCTGACCACACAGGACTGGCTCTGGGTGCTTACTGGGATTACACATATAGGTAAACACAGACCCTGTTGTCAGGGAATTTAACATGGAATATAAAAAGTGAATAGAAATTACTACAAATAAGCCAGGCATAGTAGTATATATCTGTATTTCCGGCTACTTAGGAGGCAGAAGCAGGAAGATCAGTTCTAGGCCATCTCTGGCAAAGTTAGCAATACCTTCTCTCAAAAACAAAATACAAAATAAAAAAGAGCTGAGAGCATGGAAAAGTGGTAGAGCACTTGCCTAGCAAGCACAAGGCCCTGTGACAATCCCATGTATTACAAAAATAGCAAAATCGTATGTGCTTCGTACTATCAGAGAAGTGCAGAGGAAGTGATGTGGGAACAACACCACTGCTGTGGTTTGAGATGACTGAAGTAGATAGTAGGTTTGGTGTAAGCTTTTAAAAGAAGGGTCAGAATTTCAATTGGCAATGACAGCAGGGAAGAAATTCCAAGAGAACCTGCGCGAACACAAGCCTGTAAAGTGAGAACACACCAATTGTGTTCATGCAACAGGTAATAATCCTCTATTGGAAAGAGTTTTATGGGAGATAAACTTATTTTTAATTTAGCTGTTGATGGGGCCCACATGCAGCAATAGTTTGGGGGGGTGGTAATGAGACCTACAGTAGGAATCAAGAGTTTGCAGAGAGAGGTGTCATTTCTTGCATGTGTAATATATTTTTACTAGCTTGTGAATGAAAACTTATTCCTCTTCTACCCTTCTGCAGTTGCAGGATAGAGAATCCTACATTGCCATACTAGTTGGAGCCAAGTATGGGATTAGCCAAATTATCAATAGCAAACTCAACATCATGTCCACATTGGCAGAGTTTGCCAATATCAGCCGCGTGGAGCTGACAGAAGAGTCTGAGAAAGTGAGCATGGTTAAAGTGTATCTTCAGGACATTAAGGTAACACAGATTCTAAATACAGTTTCTGGAATTGGGGGATAAGTTAAACTAGAGTAGTTTATATGAGTTTTGAGTACTAATAAAGTCTCATATTCAACATCTGCTTATGAGGATAGATTGTCCATACTGTCCCACCAAATGAAAAGTGGTAAATAGGGTACATTATCCTGAGAAGGTCCCAAAGGGTTTTGTTTGTTTGTTTTATAAACTGGGCTGGACCATGTGCTTTCTTGATGGAAAGATCTCAGCCTAAAATGGGTTGGGCTCAGGAAAGAAAATAGGAACACCAGAGGATTTTATCACCTGCATGGGACCAGAATGCTGTCCAAGAATTTTGAGTGATAGAAATTAAAATGTATAAATAGTTTAGGGTACTTCCTGAGCCTCTCTGGAAGTACCATGGTCTCCAGACCAGCCTCATGATGCCCCATACTCTCACCTGTATGGTTCTAAATAACCAAACATGCATGCACATGCACAATCGCACATGCACGTGTACACACACACTCCACAGGCGCAGTGGGTTCCTCCCATCGCATGTATACAGTGTCGCCACTCGTCCCACCTTCTACCCCTGTTCCCCAACCCAACCCTACTCATACATACACTGGAGCCCCTTCAAGACCTAACCTAGGAAAGGAAAAAAGAGCAAGAGCAAGCACAGAATGAGGGAGAAGGTGATAAGGAGAACACAGAACCATTCTAGAGCATGTTGGATTAAATCAAAGAGTGGAAGGATGGAGGTAACTGGACCATGGCTGGATTTACATGGATTCTCTTTGGCCTAACAAAGCCTTTGTTGTTACTTGGGCCTTTATGAGCAAAAGACTTCTTTTTGCCTTCAAAGGTTCTGACGTTGCTGCTGGAATCCAACAGTGCAAAAGATCTAGCCTGCCTGATTGCTGGGTACTACAGGCTGTTTGTAGACCCAGTTACCTCCATTTTCCTCTGGCCTGGAAACAGACAGCAAGTGCACCGGGTATCTGCTGAAGAAGGTAAGGCACCGAATCTTGCCCCAGTAAGGACAGGCCCATTTCACAGCCTAAAGGGAGGTGGTGAACTGAGTTGAGCTGAGACTTCAAGTGGGTGAGAGATATTTCTCTACTTATTTCCAAGTAAACTGTATGTAGATATCTTTGCTAAATACTAGAGAAGCTTTCTTTGTACTTGAAATTTTCCTAGGCAAAGGGATGCTATTGAAGGTCTCCAATTGCCTTTAGTGTTTTCTAAAATCATGTCTCTAAGATCCAACTATAGCTCTTCATCCTTTCTCAGCAAAAAGAGGGGCCACTTATTTGTTGACAAAGTAAATGACCTGGTTCTCTTCCATGCCTCTGCACTCTTTTGCATTCTCTTGAATTATAATAGAAATTCTCAGCCTTATATGTTTAGAAGAAAGACATTCCTAGAAACAAAAAAGACCTGAAATCATATCATATAAGGAATGAAGTGGAAGACCAGAGGAGACAAACAGGTTCCCAGGGCAACTTTCAGTTTCCACCGCTTGTTTTCAGCACTGTCTTCTTGATTCAGCATTTCCCCAGTGCTATGCTGAGCAATGTTTAACAACTCTGTCTCTGCAGGGAAAAACCCTGACTTGAAGCAGTTCCCTAATTCTGTTGCATAAACACTCCCACCAAGGCTAATTTCAAGCTACTAACATGATGTCATTGAGTGTGGAAGTGGAAGAGGTGCTCAGGAGCACACCATTATACAGTGTTTCCTCCATATGAGTAAAATAGGCATAAACCATCTTGACAGACAATAATAAAATAAAGTAAAATGCAGCCATCCATCTTACCTGAGGGGATTGGTTCTGGAACCCCCTGTGGATGCCAAAATCCACACATTTCATGTTCCTTCTATAAAATGGTATAGATTTTTATATAACCTGTGTAACTCTTCCCAAACACTTTAAATCATTTCTACATTTGCAGTGTAAATGCTGTGTACACAGTTGTTATATTGAACTCTTTAGGGAAATAGTGAAAAGGTGTTCAGCACAAATGTGTTTTTTCCCTAAGTATTTTCAATCCATGACTGGTTGAATGCCTAGCTATGGAAACCACAAATATCATTAAAAGTGATGAGTTTGGATACTTGTTCCCTTTGCTTTTGCATAATATTTTTTTGAGTGAGGAACACCTCAGAGTCTGGTCAGGGAGACAACACAGAATGGGAACCATACTGTTGTGGAGAGTGGCAGGAGCGACAATTGCTGTAGGGCAGGCAGCTGTGGTCAGAGAGAGAGCTGTTAAGGGACATACATGAAATAGAACTTGAAGAGCACACTGGAACTAACCAGGTAAAAAAGGTGGATAAATCATTCAAGGAAAGAGGACATGGAGGCATAACACAAGAGCAAGGTCATGATCTCTGAGAAACCCTGTGTATGGCTAAAGCATGATGGGAAGGCTACATCCAGTAACCAGCTGCTGAGGAGCAGGTTGGACCATACTGTAAGCAGGGAAGTAAGGCCAGTTTTTGCAATCTTTATCTTTCATGAGTGAGCTTCAACTTTTCGCCATAGGCAGGGGAAGCCATGAGGGGGTTTAAGCAGAGTAAGATGTGATCAGAGAGAAATTTCAGAAAGATCTCTCTGGAAGATAATAAGAGAAAGACTGGAGATCTTGCCCAGTGTCCCCCACCCTCCTGCCATGAATTCTTCCCAGGCACCTGCAGCTAGGTGTGTTTCCACTGTCCTAAAATTCCCATGGCACCAATGGATCCTTAAAGCCAGACTTTAGAATGTTGCCAGCCGGCAGCCTCAGAATCCCTATAAAGTTGCTAAAAAGTAAATCCTCAGGCCCTGCTCTCTAGAGATTTGATCCAGTACATCAAGTGTAGAGCCAAGGATCTGTTTTATGTTTAGAATAAGAGTCCCCATAGGATTTTGGTGCTCAGGCAGGACAGAGGTAAGATTTGAGGAGGGGCTTAGCACACTTGGGTGATACTGCCCATAGCAAAGGGAAACCCAATTAAATACCTACCATGTTACTACAGACAGATCTCCTTAGAACAAGGGATAGATTAATCCTGTCTCAGTAGGTGACTCAGATGGATGGGGGAACAGGTGACCCAATGGTGTAGGGAGACCATGGAATGTGGAGTCCCTGGGGTCCTGTGTCAGTCAGTACAGTGTGATCTGGGCCAGTCACTCTTCTGGACCTGTTTTCCTTTCTGCTGGGATGGGAGGAGGTAGGCAGGAGAACAAATAGACATTCACCAGTTCTGAATGCTGGTTTGTAACCCTCAGTGTCCCCTGTATTGCAGGCTATGAGTCCAGGGCTTGCAGCGACTCAGAGGAGTCCTCAGAGGTGGACTGTGTGCTGGAGCCTCTCTCTGACAGTTGCCTCATGAAGCTAGGCCTCTGCAGAACTCTTGTCAAAGAGGAGCAGTTTCTTGAGGACAGCTCCATGCCCGAGCTGAGCAGGAGGGCTTCGAGCACATGTGGAGCCAGCAGTATGACAGACAGTGCTGAGTCTGAGGCATCTGACTCAGCCAACACTGAGAGCCGGGGCTGCAGGACAAGTGGCTCAAGTGAGTCCATGGACGCCCTAGAAGAGGATGACTTGGACACATGCTCCTCCAGCAGATCTGGCTTCTTCCACTTTGGCTCTGCAGGCTTCGCAGAGGGTCTGGATTCTGACAGCCAAGAGGAAAGAAACAGGATTGAGACCAGTGGCTTCCTCTGTCTCCTAGACCTGGCACAGAGTGCCAACCCTCAGTGCCAGAAAACAGAGTGTTCCCAGGGTCCGACTCCAGAGACCTGCAGCTGGGGACCAGAACTGAGTGTGGGCAGGCTGGACCCCAGGCTGTACGAGGTCAGCCGGACCAACTACTACAGCTTGTGCTCCAGTGTCTCTCCAGCCAGCCACCTGAGTGACAGTTCAGAAAGCACAGCTTCCCGGCAGGGGAATGCCCTGCCAGCATGGGGACAGCAGGGCTGGACTAAAACCCAGCCTGGCTCCACACTGGAAGCCTTGGCCCTGCACCCACAGCTGGCCTTTGAGGATGGCAGCTCGGATGAAGAATACTATGATGCAGCTGATAAGCTCACACCCCCAGGCACCCTCTCAGGTGAGCCCCTTAGCAGTTCTGTAGCCTTGGGAGGTGGCTCCTATGGGCCCAAGGTCAAGCTTGAAAGGAAGTCATGTGAGCAAAACAGGTCCACTCTTGAGGAAGCCAACCAATCACAAGCATCCTGCCTCAAGTCAGGGCTTCAAGAGAGTTTGGGAGGACTGTGGGTAAGCAGAGGTCAAGGGATTCATTTCACAGTGGGAACAAGGGAAGCCTTCCCAGAAGAGGTGTCCAAGGGGCTGAACCAAAGAGAGCAGCTGTGTCATTACTGACCCTGAGGCTACTTTAAATGAGTCCATGAAGTAAGGAGAACCTGAAGGGATATAGATAGCACTGAAAGTCTTCTGGGGTCCAAGAGACCTTCACATGGGGATCTATTGACTGTGTTTCTATCAGGTTTCTCACATACCCCCAGCAGAAAGTGTGGAATGCCTTTCCACGCAGAATGATGTCCCAAACCAACCTGGAGCCTTGTAGAGCTCCTCCCTCTCCCCCCATCTCTTCACTCTGAAATAAAAAACACTGGAAAGCAGTACGTCGACATTGAAGGTGGCCTCCTTGGAGCTAGGAGGGCTGCTGCCCTTTGCTGTTGGTCCTGAGCTCAACCTCCAGGGGTTTCCATTGCTCTTAGGAGAAAGGCCAGCTCCTGAGAGGGCCCTGTGAGGCCCTCTGTGTCATGGCCTCTGCGTGTCTCTCTCTCTCTCTCCTCTCTCTCTCTTCCTGAGCTCCTCTCTACATCCTGCCACACAGACCTCCTTGACATTTTTGAAAAGCATCAAGCCCCTTTCCACCTCTGCCCTTAGCACTTGCTACTCTTTCTTTCTTCCCCGACCCCCATCTGTCTATCAGCTGGTGTTCATTCCTTTGGGGAGCATTTCCCAGACTGGGGCAGGCCTCTCCATCTCCGGTGCATATTTTTATAGCACCTGAAACTTTTCCTGCCTACCATTATGCTTTTAGTTGTATGATTCTGTGCTGATGCTTCTCCCCCTGCCAGACCAAGAGCTCCTTGAGTGCAGGGACTGTGAGTTTCTTGCTCACCACTGTTCCCAGCACACAGCACTGCACTGGGCCAGCCATTTAATAAACTCAGCATCATCTATGCTGAGTTCAGTAATTGGCCATGCCCCCTAGAGAAGGGAGCAGTGATGGTCAAAGTGCACTGCTTCCCTAAGAACCCTTCCAGTGGCCTTCTGTGTCCCCTGACCTGCTGCACTGGGCCAGCCATTGTGTCAGGAGCAGGATGGGGGTGCAACAGAAACTGTCAGGGAGGGTCCTTTTACTGGAGCCTAGTCAGGAACCTTAGGTCCATAGTGGATGCTGTTTTTCAGAGGGAGTGTCCAGTGTGGTACTGAGCAGAGAGCCCAGAAGTAGGAGTCCCCAACCTGGGTTCTGGTCTGATATCAACTCACAGCTAGAGCCCCTCTCTAGGCCTCAGAAACTCCTTTGACCAGTGGCTATGAGTAGCTGAGGCAGCATTACCTAAGGAACCTTGTTTTCAAGCTATCAGTTCCTCACTGCTAACCCTGGAGATTCTGATTTAGGAGGTCTGGAGAGTGGCCTAGGATTTAATAAGATTTTCAGTATCACACAGACAGGTTGGTAAAATCTGGTCTGAATATCCGAGCCTCTGATTCTCAAGTGCTAGGTTATGATCCTTCTGGCTGATTCCCAAGACGTCTTCATCACAGTGCTTCGCCTCTCAGAAGGATCCATCCCAGCATGAGCAAAACCTTCATGCCTGTCACTAAGGGTCAGGGTCCCTGTTCGTGGAAAGAAGGCTCCCTCATAACCCTCATGTGTGAAATGACAATAAGAACAAAACAGCAGAAACTCCCTTATCATGAACACCTAAGACACAATTCTTGTGTCAGGTACTTTATAAAAATGCACTTATTCATCTAACCTGCCTGGCAGCACTGATTGCTACCATTGATACTCACTGATGTGGGTTTGTTCATGTGAACATGAAGAAAGTGTTAGAAGGATGTAAGAGCTTGCAGATCACCAGCAAGCCTGAAGAACTGGGATCAGACATGGACTGCCACCAGGCCACAAGTCTGGGTAGCAGGATTCCTCATCTGTATTGTCAGGACTGTGACTGGAAAGGATGAGTCTTACTGAGTGAGTTTGAAATTCTGGAGAATTTGTAGCTGACTGGCTGAGTCATAAATCTGTCACTTGTGTTGGTGGGGTACTTTCATTAATAATTCTAGAGACTGGCAGTATAGCTCAGTGGTAATGTGCTTGCCTCACATGTATGGGTCCTGGGATAATCTCCAACACCACCAAATAAGAATAATTATTAGACAAAAGCAGACATGAAGACCAGTGGAACGGAATAGAGGATCCGGATTTGAAGCCACACAACTATAACCAACTTACCTTTGACAAAGGAGCTAAAAATATACGATGGAGAAAAGACAGCCTCTTCAACAAAAACTGCTGGGAAAACTGGTTAGCAGTCTGCAAAAAAACTGAAACTAGATCCATGTATATCACCCTATACCAATATTAACTCAAAATGGATCAAGGATCTTAATATCAGACCACAAACTCTAAAGTTGGTACAGGAAAGTGTAGGAAATATTTGGGAACTAATAGGTATAGGCAAGGACTTTCTCAATGGAACCCCAGCAGCTCAGCAACTAAGAGATAGAATAGATAAAGGGGATTTCATAAAACTAAAAAGCTTCTGCTCATCAAAAGAAATAGTCTCTAAACTGAAGAGACCACCCACAGAGTGGGAGAAAATATTTGCCAGCTACACATCAGACAAAGGACTGGTAACCAGAATATATAGGGAACTTAAAAAACTAAATTCTCCCAAAATTAATGAACCAATAAAGAAATGGGCAAGTGAACTAAACAGAACTTTCTCAAAAGAAGAAATTCAAATGGCCAAAAAACACATGAAAAAATGCTCACCATCTCTAGCAATAAAGGAAATGCAAATTAAAACCACACTAAGATTCCACCTCACCCCTGTTAGAATAGCCATCATTAGCAACACCACTAACAACAGGTGTTGGTGAGGATGTGGGGGTGGGGGGGGTGAGGAACCCTTTTACACTGCTGGTAGGAATGCAAACGAGTACAACCACTCTGGAAAAAAATTTGGAGGCTTCTTAAAAATCTAAACACCATCTACCATATGATCCAGCAATACCACTCTTGGGGATATACCCAAAAGAATGTGACACTGGTTACTCCAGAGGCACTTGCACACCTATGTTTATTGCAGCATATTCACAACAGCCAAGTTACGGAAACAGCCAAGATGTCCCACTACTGGCGAATGGATTAAGAAAATGTGGTATTTATACACAATGGAATTTTATGCAGCCATGAAGAAGAATGAAATCTTATCATTCGCAAGTAAATGGATGGAACTGGAGAACATCATTCTGAGTGAGGTTAGCCTGGCCCAAAAGACCAAAAATCGTATGTTCTCCCTCATATTCAGACATTAGATCAAGGGCAAACACAACAAGGGGATTGGACTTTGATCACATGATAAAGTGAGAGCACACAAGGGAGGGATGAGGATAGGTAAGACACCCAAAAAACTAGATAGCATTTGTTGCCCTCAACTCAGAGAAACTAAAGCAGATACTTTAAAGCAACTGAGGCCAATAGGAGAAGGGGACCAGGAACTAGAGAAAAGGTTAGTTCAAGAAGAATTAACTTAGAAGGTAACACACATGCACAGGAAATCAATGCTAGTCAACTGCCTGTATAGCTATCCTTATCTCAACTAGCAAAAACCCTTGGTCCTTCCTATTATTGCTTATACTCTCTCTTCAACAAAATTAGAGATAAGGGCAAAATAGTTTCTGCCTGGTAGAGAGCGGGTAGGGGGAGAGAGGGAGGGTCAGAGGGAAGAGGGGAAAAATGTCCCAAACATTGTATGCACATATGAATAAAATAAAAAATTTTTAAAAAGAATAATGATTAGAACTATAATACTAATAATATTATCATTCCAGGAGACTGAAATCATTGGGGAAATGTCAGTCTCTAAAAAAAATTTTGGAGTACTTGACCAAAAAACAATGAAATGGATCTTAGACAACCAAAACTCCAAAAAAATGTCTGTCACAATTATCCCCTTCTTTCAGAGAAGGAAATTAAGGAGATCAAAATCTAACTTACCCAAGGTTACACAGCTCAGTCAGAATTTGAATCCAGGAAGGCCCAAGTGCTGAGCCCAAACTCTATAGACCTCTTTACTTTTCTATTTATGTTCTTTTTCCTTTCTTGACTCCCAGGGCCCAGAGCTGCAGAACCTAGTGCCACAAGCTTGCAGAGTAAGGCCAGCACTTGTAGCCCAGAGGATACTCTGCATCCTGGACCAGACGGAAGACAGCCCAGCAGGAAAGGAGGTGTGAAGAAGTATGCCAAAACCCTAAGGAAAAGAAGGTCCTTCCTGCAGACCGACTACACCTCTCAGGTCTCCTTTCCCCTGGTGCCATCAGCCTCCCTGGAGAGCATTGATGATGTGAGCTACTATGATAGGGAGCCCTACTTGACCCTTGGTGCACCCTCCCCAACTGTGTCCTCCCTGCAGGACATGCAAGGTGAGCCAGGCCTCCTGGAGACCAAGGCCCTGGGGTTGCTGGCTTCCCTGAGGGAGACCAAAAGCAAAAACCCAGTCTCCAGGGTCATGGAGATGGAGCCTGAGACCATGGAAACCAAGTCAGTCATTGACTCTCGAGTCTCTTCTATTTCTGCCATCCGCCTCCGGATTGACCCCAGCAATAAGGAGAATCCTGAGGTTGCTCCTCTGGCTGCCACCATTGACAGTTCCTCAGCAGGCATGCCTCACTGTTCCAGCCCAGGTTCTTTTGGCCCAGAGGCTGATCAGACAAGGCCTTTCCAAATCTTATCTCCATGTCAAGATCTGAATGATGCTGTCCCCAAAGAACTAGCCATGGAGCCTAGGGACGTCACCTTTCCTCTCTCCAGTGCTGATCATAATCCAGACAGCCCAGAGCCACATAATTTCTCTCCAGGAGCCACACCAGAGCTGGAAGGCAGCCAACTGGAAACAGGATTGGGATCTTTTTTTACAAATCATATGCAAGAAACTGCCTCTCCATACACAGAGCCTTTGTTGTCTGCTGGAGTTGAGCCTACAAATGGTGAGTGTGAGATGAATTCAAGAGAGGTGGCCTCTGTCCCTGCAGAGGAGGAGCAACAAGGACAACTATCTGTGGAAAGTGACAGCAAAGTGACAAGCAAAACTGGTACCGACTTATTTCAGGAGGAATCTGGGGACGATTCAGGTGGCTCCAAGGATGATGTGTCAAATACTGTTCCTCAGTCACTTGATGTTAGTGCCCCAGCTGATGAAATAATTACCTCCCTGTCCTTGGAGGCTCTGGGAACAGGGACTGTGCAGATTCCACCCCATCCCCCCACAAGCTCCCAGGAACAAAGCAGTGAAGCCCTAGGCCAAGCCTGCCAGGCCCAAGAACAAAAACTATTGGCAGAGTTGGATTTAGACCCCAATTTCTTACTTGAGGAGCAGATCATTTCATCAACCTTCCCACCAGAGGGGGTCAAGGAAGAGCCACCTAGCCATATGATAGGAGAAGATACAACCCCTAGGGACACTCCTCAGCAGGATTGTTTTAATGCAGAGCCTTCCCTGCCAAAGCCACCCTTGCGTGAAGAGGAACCCCACTTAGAAACTTCAAACCATTGCTTACTGTCAGAAAGCAAAGACAGTTCTAGTGTTTGTCTGCCTACTGACAAGTCTTTCCTATGCTTTGTCTCAGAAAGCCATCCTGAAGTTTCTGCCAGTTTCACGAGGGCCATGCCTTTGGGGTTTGCAAGCATGAATGAGGTGGTGGCCCCTGGGATTGGGATAGAGCAGTGCAGTTGCCAGTTCTCCTATGCCACATGCTTCCATGGTCTGCAGCCTGAGACGGAGGAAGAAGACAGGGACCCACAAGCTCAGCCCACTGCCCCTCTCACCTCACCACCCTCTGCAGGAAGCCAGCTGGTTCTGCCCTGGAGGCTTGCCCGGGCCCACAGCTGCAGCACTGAGCTCCTGTCAAGAAAAAGTCACATCTGGCCAGAGTACTGCTCCAGGACACTGAAACAGCTGAAAGGCACCCCTGCCAGCACCCCTGAGGGCTTCATTCAACTCTTGGAGAGCTTGCTGGAACTGCAAGATATTTTAGAAGTTTCCTGGGGGGTTGGAAACAAACACCCCCCAGAGAAGTGCACCTGGCACTTTTCAGAAAGCAGGAGCCGCCTCTGTATTGGCTCCCAGAAGCTCCTGTCCAGCTGCCAGCATGTGATCAGAATGGACCAGTCTCCTGAGGAGATGCAGGGTGCTGTGCGTGACACCTTTCAGCACCTGGTCCAGCTGGCTGGCCTGTGCTTCCAATTCACAGACTGCAGTCGCTGCTCGGCCCGGCACAGGGAAGCAGCCGGGAACTTGAGGGACGTGGTGAGCACCTACTACCAATTTGTAGAGGCTGCAAAATTAACCTGTGAGAAAGGTTACCAGGACCTGAGTGTGAAACTCTTGGCCCGTCAGTGCACGGCACTTACGGCTGCAGTGTTCTGTTTGACCCAGAAGTTCCGGGCATCTACTGCCCTGTGAATAGGTCAACTGCCCAGGGGCCGCCTCCCCTATCATGGACACATCTCCAAGAAGACCCTTCCAGTCAGTCCTCCACTCCTCCCCCCTTCAAATGTTTACTGTATAGAGCATTCAAATAAACTGCTGCTTAATCTTGGCCTAAGTCATACAGAGTGATGATAAATTTGGGTCAAAAACATTCACTCATATGCATTCAACATTCACTTCCTTTGTGCCAGGCCTTGTACTAGGAGCTTGGGAATTATGGCCGAATAATGCAAGCCCCTCCTCTGATCAGAATACTCACAGACCCCTTGGGGTACATGTAGACAACCATTAGTACAGTATGCAACAACAAAGGAGCATACCCAGGAGTGTGGGAGAAGAGGAAGTCACAGGTTTTGTCCCAAGAAGGCAAGAATGAGGGAGGAAAGTGGAGATTACTGAAAAAAGTATTGATTTCTCATCACACTAATTTGGTAATAACCTTCACAAATAATGGTGAATACAGGTACTATTTGATAGCTTCTACCTTCCCATGTTTTGGCTTGGTAGTTTTGGTTGCCTTGCTGCAGCACACATAGATGACACTAGGTGGCAGTAAATTCCTTAGTTGCAAGGCCACCATATGCAGGTGGATTCTGTACTTCACCTGAAATTGATTGAACCCCTGAATCTATACCCTGTCTCTGTTTTAAATATGCAAAAGGCAAAAGTTAAAGTTTTGGATTAGATTTTCCTTTTAGATAATAATGTTAAAACAAAAGAAAATATTAGATGCCTTTCTCACTAAACCCAGTTGAGCCGGTTAATCCCAGTTTGCTGTGACATGGAACAAGCTACTTAACCTCTCAGTGTTTTAGTTTTCTCTTCTGTAAATGAAGATACTAATACTGTCCACTTGACAGGACATAAATCTAGTAAATACTCAATCTAGTAAATTCTCAATAGATGTTAGAATCTTCCTCTCCTAGTCTGAAACCTTCCACTACATTTTCTTCTCATGTTTCAGGAAAACTTATTTCAAGATTCCTTTGGGATGCCTTTTGCCCTGGTTTCTCCATCTGGCTAAAGATGGTTTAATGGCTCACCTTGGGCTATTAGAGGTCATCAAAGGAGTCCCTTTGTCCCTCTGGTGTTCCTGATCAGTTGTGAACTAAATGCTGCCCCTTCTGCAGAGCTGAGTCCTCCCCTCAGGAACAAGGATGAGGGTGTTAGTTGCATATTTAGGCTTTCACCACTCAGAAGGAAAGCAATAATTGGGCGAAGAGAAAAAAAACCAACCCACCCATTCCCATTACCAGTTACCTGTCAACTAGGAACTAGTAGCTGTGCTTGTGCTAGGAAAATATTTATTTTCTTAGAAGACTGTTTCTTTTCACAGAATACTTTGAATGAAGTTTAAATAAGTCTCTTTAACACATATTTGAAGTGATTTCATGGCAATGAACAATAGGAACAATAAGGGCTAGTGGAGTGGCTCAAGTGGTAGAGTGCCTGCCTAGCAAGCGTGAGGCCCTGAGTTCAAACCCCAGTTCCGACAACAACAAAAAAGTAGGAACAATAGAGCACCAAAACTTTTCAGATTGCATAATATTAAACAGGACATGGAACTTTTGCAGTAGAAAGCTACGAAGAGCGAAATAAGTTATTTATATAAATACAACCTACAAGTTCACAAGTTTAGAGAAGCAGCTCAGGACTTCACTCAGTTGGGACTGGACTCCTAGCTGTGGCCTGAGCTAACATAGGCACTGTTCTGGACCCCAGTTTCTTCAGCTGACAAAAGTCTCCATTTAATTAGGACCCACAATATGCCAGCTGCCGTATTTAGCTCGCTTAGATATATTTGTAACATGACCAGTACTCTAAGGGTTGTTATATAAGACATAGTCTGCATTTCTGTGAGCAATACATAGAAGTCATTGAAGGCAGGAAGAAGACGGAAACCTCCAGCTCAGACACTCCATAATGCTTGTTTCTTTCTTTGCTTTCTTTGCCTCCCTTCAAACCCATGACCTTTCTTGGGTTGCTATTGCACAGGGCTGGTCTATTTTATCTACAGTTCCCATAAGGAGAGCTAAGTTCCAGAAGTGGTGGGAATTTCCTCATTGCTTGCAGAGAAGCCAAAGTGCAGGGGAACTTTCCCCGACTGGCACTTTCTTCGAGACACACAGCTCCCTACACAAGATAAGAAGGATAAGACTACTGACTCCATAATGCAAGAGTCAATTGTTTATTGACTTAAAAACCTGATACTTGTACCCTTTCTTCCTTTTCCAGCCCACTATTGCATCGTCTAATTAATTTCTTTCAACAAACATTTATAGTACACCCAGGCCAGATGGTGCAGGATTATGGATGTAAATAATTGGGTGAGAATGATCCAGGTGCAGTAGCTCACACCTGTAATCCTAGCTACTCGGAAGGCTGAGATTGGGAGGATTGTAATTCCAGGCTAGCCCAGGCAAAAAAATTCACTAGATCCCAGGTCAACAGAAAAAAAGCTGGGCATGGTGACACCTGCCTGTCATCCCAGCTTCTGCAGGAAACTTTTTACCAGTCTGGGCAAAACTGAGACCCTATTTGAAAAATAATCAGAGCAAAAAGGGCTGGAGGTGTGGCTCACATGGTAAAGGGTTTCAGCAAGAATGAAACCCTGAGTTCAGACCCCAGTACCACCACAAAATTGGATGAGAATGACATTTTCAAGAGTTTCTGGTGGAGGTTAGATGAAACCTAGAGATAGAGACTGAAAATACAAGGCACGGTGTGCTCAGGTCCACCAAGGAGACAAGAGAAGGTGCTATGAGACCTCTAAGGAGAGAAGTCATTTTGGCCTAAGAAGTGGTAGAAGAAATCAGGAAAGGCTTCCTGTAGGGGGCAGCATTAATTAGAACTAGTATGTCAAGAAGAATTTATTGAGTCAGGCCCTATTTGGGATTTAGAGGTCAAGAAAGGAGAAAAATCATTTATTCTGTCAGCAAATATTTACCATGCAGTGGCATTGGGAATACAACCACGAACATGCCAGACAGTCTTCTCAAGGAACTTATAATTATTAGGAAAGACAGAAAAAAGTACATTACTGGCCAAAAGGTGATTTTAGAAAACAAAGATGCCAAAACAGAGATAAGATGAGCCAGTCTTACCTAGCATAATCAGAAAAAAACCTTTCTAAAGAAGGAATGTTTAAGGTGAAGCCTAAAGAATAAGAGCCAGCCAAGAAAACATGAGAGGAACGGGAATAGTATGTTCAGAGGCCCTTGGTGTGCTTGAGGCATTTCAAGACCAGGATAGGGAGCAGTAAGACCAGCCAGGCCTTATCTTTCCATGGGAGAGTGACTGTGAGCTCATTCAGTGGTGAAGGAATTCTGTGGCATGGGGGTGGGGAGGGTATTCAGTGTGGCTGAGTGGGAGGTACAGCAACCGGCAGGTATGATGTGAGCTCAACCCTGAAAGAGTCACTGAAAGTCATCTGAGCCACTTTGCAAGCTGCTCTGAAGCTATGGAAAGCCTGGGTCAGCTTCTGAACAGAGAAGAGCCAGTAGGGTGGGTTTTAGAAAAAGTTTTATGGGAGAAAAGAGTTTTTGAGTTAACATTTAAGAATCAGATGGAAGCAAGGATTGGAAGGATCTGTACAAAGTCCAGAAGAGAAAGAGTGGACCAAGGAGGAATCTATCCGGCTTTGGTTTCTTAAGAGACATTTCAGGCTTATTCATGGTAGGGTCTCTCTGACAGGGTAAGACCCTACCCCAGAGCGGCAGGGGTGAAGGGAAGAGTGGCCGAGAGTTTTTATCAAGACTCGACTTGGGCAAGTCACTTTGTGTCTCTGAGCCTCAGTTTCCCCTTGACACGTGAAAGGAGATGAAGGAGGGAGAGTGATCAGAGGCTAGACCCCTTGCCTGTCAAACTTCGGGCATATATCTCTGTTGTGAGTCTAGATAGCCAGGTAGCAGAGGGAGGGGCTGTGTGTGCACCTGCGCCCTGGTAGTTGGGGGATACTGGGGGAGAGTCAGGGCCCCGTACTGAGAGATGATGCTGGTTCAAAACTTGATTTCACCCGGTTTTGCAATGTCCAGCCCTTGTCAGCAACAAAGCGCCTGGTCACCTGAGGTCAGCAAAGGGCTAAGATTGTAATCATCAACTAACAGATAAAGAAACTGATGCCGCCAGAACTGCTGCAAGCTGAGCCGCAACACGCAAGACCAGGAGCTACAGTCTGCGTTCTGGCCCTGGCTGAAAACTACAATTCCCATAGTGCTTCTGGAGGTGATCCGGAAGCGGAAGTGGTCTGAGGCGATGCCAGATCGCGCTGCTGCGGCTGCGCAAGGCGGAGGGAACAGAGAGTCGGAGGGAACAGGTAAGCTTCCCGGGAGGGGTCGGGGGCTGACCTGGCGCTCTAGGGTCAGTGGCCGCGTGGGGATGGACGCCGGAAAGGCCGCTCTACCCCGTCTTTTCCTTGCGCCCTCTGCCTTCTTCCATTGACATTGCAACCTACCGGCCAGGCGGAACCTGGGGTCCAGGTGTTCTAGTGCGGGAGGAGGGGAGCCAGCAAACGCAAAGACCCTGGGATGGGATTATCTTTGATATGTTTGGGGAACAGTAAGTAGACCAGAGTGCAGAGGAAAACTGACGGAGGAGGGAGACCTTAACCATCTGGGTAAGTGAAGTGGAGAGTGTTGGAAGGTTCTAAACAGAAGAGTGATCTGACTATCATTTAGGATGCTCCTATTTTGTGAGGCTCAGTACCAGTACTGGAATTGTGCAGGTAAATTCTTTATCCTTTCTTTCTTGGAAGGATTTATTACCACATGAGAAACAAGCAGGCCAGCTGTCGCGCAAAGCTGAGTCTGATCCTTGGAACTCCATGAAGGCAGAATGAATGTCATCTCCAGATCCCAGCCTGTACCATTACTATGTTAGGCGCTTAGGAACTTCGTCGAATGATGTAGTAAGGCTCAGGAAAGACTTTTTGTTGTCGTTGTGGTTTAGAATGACTATGTATCCTGGGCTGGTCCTGAACTCAGCCATCTTCCTGCTTCAGCTTCCTGAGTTCTGGAATTATAGGAAGGCACCACCATGCTCAGCTTTAGAAAAGATTTTTGAATAAAGAAGTGAAACGCTAAATCTGGGCATAATGTTTCACCTAGGTTCATCAGATCGGTGCTTCATGCTGCCCAACCTCACCTTTGCTGTCTGAGGATCCCTAGGTGGCAACCCATTTTGTGCCAGGCCTTACGCTGATCACCAAAGACACAAAGATGAAAGGGAGGTGGTTCCTGCCGTCAGGAGTGCCCAGTCTGCCCTATAAGAGACTCTGAGTAGTGGTTGGTATTGTTTTTATTTAATTTGAAAGATTACTACATTCCAATTTCCTGGTCTGAAACATCCTCAGGGACTTTTGGGACTTAGGGAGGCACAAAGTCCAAGGAGGTAAAAGAAAGCAAATGGGCGGGATAGTGCTTACGATTCAGCTCCATTGCAACAAACACTGCTGTTTGCAAGGTCCTTCAAAGGCATTCAATTTGATAGAAGGAAAAAATATCACCCGAGGCTTTTCAACTTTGTAAGCAAATCCATGAAAAACTCTACAGTCCCTCAAACTACTTCTGTCATAGTTCTCTTTTTTTTTCCTTCTTAGCTATATTTCCTCCAAAGAGACATAGGCATCCATTGCCTCCCATTCACTCCCCAACAGGGTTGGTCACATAGGAAAAGCTGCAGGAATATTGACTGACTAAATGAAGGATCAAACACAGGTAAGAGTACAAAATTCCATGAAGTTCAAAGCAGGAAAAGATCACCTGGCTGTTAAAAATCACCACTCTATTTATTTATTTTTATGGAACTGGGGTTTTGAACCTAGAACCTGACGAATGCTAGGCAAGTGCTCTGCCACTGAGCTATACCCCAGCTCTAGTATTCTTTTAACAAATTGTTTTCTCATTTTAGTAAAATGAGGCTGTCAGTTATTGGTCCAGTTTATCTTAAAGGTTGGTTTTTTTTGAATGCTTAAATGTAGAAAACAGTGACTACTGACTGTCTTAAGTTGTGTTTAGTCATCTGAAGGAAGTACAGTTGTCTGGATGTCTTTTGTTAAAAAGGATATTTATAATCAACATTGCTGGTTGTACATGAATAGTACAGTACTTCTGAAATGTTCCTCATTTCTCTGGAAATATTACGTACACTAATTTTGTGTATGCCATTTACTTTATGATAAAATCAATAAATAAATATATTTATTTACAGCTGGGTGTAACGGTGCATGTCTGAGGCAGGAGGATCAAGAGTTCAAGCACAGCTGGGTTACATACAGAGACACTGTCTCATAAAAACCAAGGAATGGGGGAATGTAGCTCAGTGGTAGAGTGCTTGCCTAGTATGTGCAAAGGCCTGGGTTCAATTCGAAGTACTGGGAAAAAAAAAAGGAATTCTTGTTTAACTGATTACTCAGCATGCGTGGCACCTTGAGTTCAAAGCCCAACAGTACCCCCCACCAAAATAATTTGTACTGACTGTTAAAATAAGGATATCTTCTGGGCATGGGTGGCTCAAGCCTGTAATCCTAGGTAATCAGGAGGCAGAGATCAGCAGGATTGTGGTTTGAAGCCAGCCCTGGCAAATAGTTCACAAAACCTTATCTCTAAAAAATCCATCACACAAAAAAAAAGAACTGGTAGAGTGGCTCAAGGTGTAGACCCTGAGTTCAAACCCCAGTACCGCAAAAATCAATCAATCAATAAATAAAATAAAACAAGGATATCTAAGTACAACTAAACTTTAGCCAAGCAAATATATATGAATTTCTAATTTTGAGAATCTAGAAGGTAATTTACTTGGCTGTCTTCAGGAATATATCTGGTGGTTACATATATACAGTGATGTGTGGTGAATATCCAGAACTGCTCAGAAGACTTACCTTTATAGAAAAAACAAAAGAACAATGCAGGAACGGTAGCAATAACAGCCAGTGTTTCAGGAGTACTTATTTTCTATCAAGTAAATTAAACGCGTCTGGTCCTTGCAGCAGTTCTGTCAGGTAGCTTATTCCAAATCATGGAGGGAGTCTGTGACAGAGTTAAATGTTTTGGCTGTTGTCCCACCACTCAAAAGTGGCAAGCTGGAGAATGTGGATAAATCCTAAAATGGCTTATTTTTCCCTGAGAAGCTGTAATTTAAGTACGTTCATCCAAAAACAACTAAAATTTGGCCCAATTTTGAGTATTTCTGGAGTACAAGAAAAAAAAGGAATATATAGTAGATGCTCAATAAATATTTGCTGAGACTCTGATTTGAAAGTAAACTATTTGAAAAATAATCAAACATTGTGTTTCAAAAGACATAATAAATAATTTGGCTATTTATGACACCCTAGCAATGGGTAAGTACTAATTACTTGGAGATGTCAGGAATCCTGCTTGTCCTCCAAGAGGTATGTCTGGTCCCCTTACTAATAAACTGTTTTTTTGCTGGAAGATGTGTGTTTTTGTCAGTTCAATAACACACTTGTGTCAGTATTTTACACCCTGGTGTACCATCACTAACAAGTACTATTTGTCTTTTAGATACAGGAAATTAGCCGTGTTAGTGAAATAATGTATCTCACATAATTGTGCCTTTTTCCTTCCACTCTGGTTGAAAGGACAGAAGACTAAGCCCATGAACTGGGAACTGGAAGGGGTCGGTCAGGGAACAGAGTCACCAGTGCCGCTGGAGCAAGAAGGTGTCATAGAGGACAGAAGTGAAGATGGACTCTCTGAAAGCTTCCAGCTTCTGCAGATGGATGTGGAATATGAGCGCCAAGAGGGAGAGACACTCCCCATAGACAGTGAGACATGGTGCTCGGTGAGTGCAGTGGGCTTTCAGTCATGGGATGTCCCAGAGAGCCCTGCTCTAAGGGTGGATACTAGTAATGGAAAGAGACTGAGAATGAGTTTTGAGTATTCTGAGTGGTGAATTAATTTCTTGCTAACTGGTTAAGGTTTCAGTTTCATTTGAATCATAGGAAAAATAAAGTTCAAAAATTCTTTTTGATATACCTCAGAAGAGTCAGGAAATCTAAAATCTGCTGGAGGCCCTGTCGCCAATGAATTTACTGTGACTTTGAGCAAGTCACATATCTTTTCCAAAGCTGTAGTTTATCTAAACACAGTCCAGTCTAGGTTTGTTTTTAAGACGAAAATCTTTTTTTCTCCTCTAACTTTATGTGTAAATGAGAAACAAATAATTAAGTAACTGTTGCTAGCATTCATTTTCCTTTTTGGTGTTTATGAAGTTCTCAAACAATTTTGTTTTCTGGATAAGAAAAATGTCCAGAGAAAACAGAGACACTGGCAAAAGATAATTGCAGCAAAGAAGTGCAAAAGAAAGCAAGAAAAAGAAAGAAGAAAAGCCAATCGTGCAGAAAATCCAGGTAATAATAAATGAGATTACTGATCATCATTATGTTCATCTTTATGTTCAAGAAAGAAGGATCCATTATCCATCTGATTTTATTGGGAATTGTAGTATCAACGAAAGAAAAATTTAAGCGTGCCTTTTAAATATAAATTTTTCAGTGGGCTTGTGTCTTTATAAGCTCAGAGATAAAAGAAATACCAGCAACAGCTAACATTCAGTGCTATTTGCTAAGTTCAGTTCTAAGAATTTTGCATGGATTACCTTAAAGGGTAGGTATCCATTTTGTAGGAGAAGAGTCAGAGATTCAGAAAAATTAAATAACATGCCCACCATTCAGTTAATAAATGAACAAACTGAAGTTGAATTTAAACCCAGTGGTGTGCCTCAGAGCCCACACTCCTCACCTCTCTGCTATACATATTCAAGGTAATGGATCTCAAGTTTCTCTTTATATGCAAAGATGAAGAAATTTGTTTTGTACAGAACTCTGTTCTCCCATTTTCGCACTCATTCCTTTTTTATATTTCTGCCATAGGTATCCGCCCCCAGCATAGCAAACGTTTTCTGAAAGCCTTAACCAAAGAGAAACTTTCGGAGGCCAAACACTCAGGACCAAGACTGTGTATCGATTTGAGTATGACCCACCACATGTCAAAGAAGGTAGAACATCCACTAAGCCTGGAATTCCTGCTGACCTGAGGGAAGCCCAGAAAGGGCTCAGCCTCCTCGAAGAGAATGACCACCACCAGCTTCTGTGGTTCTTTAGTAATCCAGAAGAAGTGTTTGGCTTTCTACACTGGGCTGCTAAGTTCCAAGATGGCTGTTGGGAAAAATGTGGAAGGGAATATACATTCCTAGGTTTATTTGGCAAATTTTACTTCGTCTACTGTTTTGAGCTCACCACCTTTGCCTCTCTGTTCATAGGGTTTATCCCCTGTCTGGATGGAACCTTTCAGATTCAGTTCTCCAGAGACTAAATCTTTGTCCTTTTGCTGGGGAGAGGAGTATTTGCCTGGTAGCATATTGGTGGAGTCAGGGGAATGTTACCTGGCAAAGGGTCTTCTTGCAGTGTATGTATTTTAATCATTTCTCATTGTTCCCATTGGTGAATAGGTCCTGGGGATGGCTGCATACATGCCACCTGGTATTGGACAGATGAGGTTGACCGAAGCTTGTAGCCTAGGGAGGAGGGTGCTTCACACCATACAAGGCCATGCGGGGTTGTACTTGAGGACAGAATGAACCACCAGGGACAGTGGGATGTGGGCTTTGCAGTATGAAGAGAGTGAGTTGCCCCTTGGTTGCCACAGGATATGGTTGGCTTGTTTGGATGATTCCATAGGCTGTGGAAACTGAAACCCACTACCCAGGGATAAGCAAGAACTATGCCTTATCCTCTTAGTAAAGTTTTTCAGGAGCTGAGTCTGGGAGGATTTTAAGTGGCGAGAAAGGGGGTGCTGGGAAGAGTCTAGCAAACCAGGTGGGAAGGGAAGCCTCTGTGGCAAAGGTTGAATGCCACATTTAAGGCAAGGGGAATTGAAAACAGCTAGGTGCCTGGCACAAGGCTGGACTGGGTAGTGGAGACTGTTGAAGTGAAAGTGACTTCCTAGTGTTAGTTGGCTCTGCTTTCTAGGAATTGATGTGGTGGATGGAGAAATTTTTCCATGCGGAATAGATTAGCTAGTGACAAGAGCCAGACTGCTGTTGCCAGAGGGCGTGGGCCAGACAGAGATGGGCTACGAGGGAGAAGAGGCCCAGGGAAAGCCCACTGCTGGGCTTTGATGGAAGGGTAGTGTTTGCTTTCCACAGAGTGGATGGGATGCCCTGCAGACCCAGCAAAGAGCTTGAACTGAAGGCCAGGCAGTGACAGGGGGACAAACAGCCAAAGTTGGGTAGGGAAGGAGTGGCAGAGTTGTGGGATTGTGTGGTAGGTTTCTTACCCTGAAGCTACAGAGGGGGCCCAGGAAGTAAATGAGATTCTTGATGAGAATCTGGGATATTTCTACACCCTGGTGACATTATTGTGCATGTTTTCCTATCCTAAGGCCAGGAAGTACAGATGTGCTTCTATTGAAAACACACACACACACACACACACATATGTACACTTGGCAGGCTAAGATGGGAGGATGGCTTGAGCCTAGGAGTTCAAGGTTCAAGGCCAGCCTGGATAATACAGCGGGACCCTGTTTCAAAAAAAAAAAAAAGCCTTTAACTTTAATACTAGCTACTTGGGAGGCAGAAATAAGGAAGATCACAATTCAAGGCCATTCCCAACATAAAGCGAGACCCCCATCACAATAAATAAGCTGAGTGTGGTGACTTGTGCCTGTCATCCCAACTATGCAGGAAGATGTAGGTATGAGGATTGTAGTCTGGGACCAGACAAAAACACAAGATCCTATCCAAAAAATGATAAAAGCAAAAAGGGGTTGGGGACATGGTTCAAGGTATAAAATACCTGTCTGGCAAGTGTTCAAACCCCATCATTGCCAAAAAAACCCCATGATTTTTATGAATTGATTGGCAAATCAATGAATTAACCTATTAATCACAACTACATAAAAACCAGGAAAAAAAATACATGCAGGAAAAACCAAAACCCTAAAGTGAAGGTGGCAATGTCTAGAGACATTTTGAAAGAAGGAGGGATACTGGTGCCTGGGGGTGGAGGCCAAACATCCTACAATGCACGGAACAACTATGTACTACAGAACCATCCTGACTAGCATATCAACAGTGCTGAGTTTGAGAAGCCCTATTGAACAGGATCACACACTTTGTTGAATTCTGTTTCATGTGAATTGGGCCATTAGAGGTCCTCTCAGTTTCACCAAAAGTCAAGTAACACATAATATTAGGCCTCAGTTTTAGGCCGTACACCATAGTAGGTAGACTTTAAACAAATCTCTTTATTTCAGACTTCCCTGTTATATGCACTAGTGTTTACACATTTTTCAGAGGAACTAGGAAAATCAGTCTGGAGTTCTTAGGTGGAAACTATAGCTCTCTGAAAAGGCAGACAAGGAATTTTCTGCTGTTTATATTGATTGAGATATCAGATTAATTCAAAGCCTTTTTTTTCTCTACTGAACAAATTAGGGTAAATTGTAAAACAACCTTCTAGAATCGGGGAGGAAAATTAAAATTTCCAATCCTATGACATCTCTTGAAGTTAGGGGAAAAGTGCCAAATGGAGTATAAAAATTTTGGTAATTTAACCTCTTAATAGCTTAAAATAGTAAATATCACATGCTAAATTTTTAGATGAAAGCTGAAGTAACCATTTATATGTTCTTAAGTATACAACAGCAGGGACAGCTGGAGGGAGTCTTTCCGCTTACTATTTCTGGGCTAGTATCCTTATCTTTGATCTGTATGGTGTAGTGTCATAGGGTATAATACACATGTGCTCATTCCTGGAATAGAAGGGGCCATCCTAGTTCACAATACTTTTTTTTTTTTTCTGGTGGTACTCAGGGCTTCATGCTTGCTAGGCAGGCACTCTACCACTTGAGCTACTCCACCAGCTTCATGATACTTTCTAGAGTATTGTGCAAACATAGGCTGATACTGTGTTTAGCTTGAGTTGACATGCTTCCACCCTGAGTTGTACTGTTTCTTTGAAGGAATTGAGTAGACTGGCTGGACAGATCCGAAGGTTGTATGGTTCAAACAAAAAAGCTGACAAGCCCTTTTGGATCTGCCTCACTGGATTCACAACTGACAGTCCCCTCTATGAAGAATGTTTGAGGATGAATGATGGATTCTCTACTTACGTGGTAAGCATCCTTTTGCATGCTATTTAAAATATCTAAAAAATACTTAACTGGGCTGGGCACTGGTGGCTCATGCCTGTAATCCTAACTACTTAGGAGGCAGAGATCAGGAGGATCACAGTTCAAAGCCAGCCCAGGCAAATAGTTTGTGAGATCCTATCTTGAAAAAAAACAACACAAAACAGCACTGGTGGAGTGGTACAGCACCTGCTAGCAAGTGTGAGGCCCTTAATTCAAACCCCAGTACCTCAAAAATAAAATACTTATGAGGTAATAGTAATTTTTAAATTTTTTTCATATTTTGATATATAACTGGTACTCTGTATTTCTGAGTTCTGCATCCACAAATGCAACCATGTTTTGAAAATACTTGGGAGAAAAATATATCTGTACTGAACATATATAAACTATGTTTTTCTTGTCATTATTCCCTAAATGATACAGTATAAGAATTATTTACGCAGCATTTCCATTGTAGTAGGTATTATAAGTAATCTAGAGATGACTTAAAGTATACTGGTGGGTATGCATAGCTTAAATGCTAAGACTATGCCATTTTAACCTTTTTTCTTTTTTTGGCGGTACTGGAATTTGAACTCAGAGCCTCATGCTTGCTAGGCAGGTGCTCAACTACTTGAGCCACTCCACCAGCCCCAAGACTACTGAGGCAACTGTAATGTATGCGTGTGTGTGTATAAATTGTATCTTTTCACTATTGCAATCTGAAAAAAATAAGAACCTTTCATTAGTTCTTACATTTAAATTGTGTTCTTTTTCTTTCACTGCATTGGCCAACTAATACTACCAATATCTAGGACTGTAACTTATCACCTTTATAGTATATTTTGGAAATACCGTTTTTGGAAGAAGAGAAAGAATGTTTTTAGAAGTAGTGTAGATTTAAGATGAGTTTTAGGAAGTACTAAGGAACTTTTCACCTCTTTCCTAGGCTTTCGTAAATGTTAATAGTTAATGCCAATAGGAATCCAGATCTGTTTCTAAGAAATGTCACTAAAAATGCCTTAGTGTTTGCACTGTGTAACTGGGACTGACCAATTGTAGCCTTCCCTAGGAGGCCCACAGGGGCCATGAGTAAAGGGGTGTGCTGTGTGGTGCTGCACAGGTGACTGTGTTGCTATTAGTGTTTTAGCTGTCTTCTCTGTAGTTCAGCCATTTCCAGCTTCACTTCTCTTTAATTTCTTATTATTCCTTCATGTAAGCCAAACAGACCAACTTCCAGGGCTATGAGGTTCCCTCAGTTTCCTTTCTTCCTCTTTTCTTGGGTGATTTCTTTTGTTTTCAATTCTTTCGTGTGTGTCATTCTTACCTCACCAGAAAGTTGTCCCTGGTGGTGTTACTCCCTCACCTATAGTCATGTGCATGTTCCCTGTCCCTCTGAGAGCCCCATGTCACTTTGTATCTCATTTCATAGGTTTAAATGTGTGTTCTACTACTTTCCTGTCCCCAAGCAAGCACTTTCTGAGAAGCAGCTGTCAGATGTGCAGCTTCTGTATACACCCAGAGCCATGCCTGACAGAAACTAGATGTCCAGTAACTAGCGGTTGAATTGTGGGCTATGTTTTCACTGCATTCCTACCATATTGGATCCTTTGCATTTTCCAGCTAGACATGACAGAAGAAGACTGCTTTAGTTTATTTCCTCTGGAAACCCTTGTGTACCTGACTCCTGATTCAGAACATGGTATGTACATTACTGCATGGATTACTGTAGTACTTTGTTCTTAGCCTTTTGTTTCATTGTTCCTTGTGACAGAATTTGTTAAGCCACTCAAGGAGTATCCAAGTGGGGAAGATGAACATGAACTGCGTTGCTCTTACAGGCAGATTCTTCAATGGATGCTTTGCACACTGCTGCACAGATTTAGGGTGCCATCATCAGTTGGACCTTGTGTCCTGCCAGGCATTCCAGTTTCCCTGTTCAGACTCTACCACTGCCTTTTTGGAACAATGTATATACATTTTTTTTCCCTGGAAAATCATCCATTTCACATAATATTCAAATCTAACATTGACTTAGGCCCACCACCTTTTCTTCTTGATTAGATATGCCATCCGATTATCTATTTTATTAGTCTTTTCAGAGAATTAACTGCTGGTCTTATTGAGCAAGTCTATTATATTTTTGTTTTCTATTTATTAGATTTTAACTTCTGTTAATATTTATTTCCTATACTTACCTGGCAGGGGAGATACCATGATCACGAAGGGGTTTTCCCAGGGCGACGCTTATTCATTGCACTCTGGATGTGCTGACCCCTGCGATTTCCCCAAATGTGGGAAATTCGACTGCATAATTTGTGGTGGTGGGGGACTGCGTTCACACTCTCCCCTAAAAAATATATATATATATTTATTTCCTTTTGCTTTGTTTGGATTTAGAAATTATAAAGCAGGTTTGATTTCAGTGGCCTTCATTTTTTTCATTAGCTCTCGAAGATATTGATCTAAACAAAGTTTACATCCTTGGTGGACTTGTGGATGAAAGCATTCAGAAAGTGAGTATATGTTTTAGCTCCAGCATCTGTATTTTGGAAGAGGCACTTGCCCTGTCATTATCTTTCTCAAAGTGCCTAGGAACTCCAAGGGAACAGGAAGAAAGAGCCAGTTTTAACTAGTGTGACCCTTCTGCCTGGGGAAGTCACTCTTAGCAGCAGTGTTAACAGTCTTGAGCTTGACAGGAGCAAGAATCAGCAATTGGGATAGGTAGTGTTCACTAACTACATACCTAGACATTCTTGAGCTTCTTCCTTTTCTCCCAGTTCTGCAAGGATAACTCTGATCTTGAACAAGCAAGCATTGATTCAACATTCCTTCAAGCACTTTGTCCTTAGTGAGAGACTAGTTTGCTCCTTCTTAGGATAACTTCTCCTGCTAACATAGTATTATTCCAAAACTTCAAACTCAATGGGATTGTTCAGATTTCTTTTGTTGAGTTGGAGTTTCATATTGGAAAAATTGGAATGTCGTTGAAGTTTTAAATTTAGTTTCTATTATGCAAATATTTGCTGAGATTATTTTCTTTGTTTATATTTACTAATTTACATATACTGCATAGCTATTAAGTTGATTAATGATATAATAGGTAACATGTACAAAAAGGTGTATAGTGAGAAGTACATCTGCCTCCCATCCTTGTACTCCCCTCCCCTCACAAAGGCAACTACTGTTCAGTTTTCTTATGTATTCTTGATATATTCTGTGATCACACAAGGGCATGTACTACCACACCTGCTGAGACTGTGTATTAGTGATTTTATGGAATTACTGATGAGTTTCTTAGAAGTGAATAGGGTGTCATGTTAACATAGGAGAATGTCATTGTTCTTAGATACATGCTTAAGTATTTAGTGATGAAGTGTTGCGATGTCTGTAGCTTACTTTCAAATGATTCAATAAAACATGTATTTATATACAGAGAAATGCAAAATGGATACAATGTTAACTGGTGTATATTGATGACAGAAATAAGTATTAGTTGTATTATTCCTTCAGCTATTTCCAGGTTTGAAATAGTCAAAAATAAATAGTTGGGAGAGGGAAGAGAACTTTATTGCAGAGCCAGGATTACCACTCACCTGACTTGTCACCATCCTCCTGCAGCAGGCAAACAGTGCCTTTTTTGAGTCAGTAAAGTCCGGGGGGTAGGGGTGAGTGAGCAGCATAAGACCTATAGATTTGCAGCTTTAACACACTGTCCTCTTTTATCTCTTCACCAACTGAAAAATAACTGGCACAAAGATGTCAAAACCTCTTGGCTTTTTATGGAGATTTTGGCTTTTTCACAAAACTATGCTACGAACAGTATTTCTTCAAGGACACTAATTTTATCTTTAAATGTGAAGAAAACAGAAAATGTAAGATTTCTGGGATAGTATTCAAGTCTTCTACTAACATTGAATTCTATACTAAGGTGCTTGTAAAGGAGTAAGACTTTTTATTTATTTATTTTGGCAGTACTGGGGTTTGAACTTGGGGCCTCACATCTGCTAGTAGGTGCTCTACCACTTGAGCCACAACCCCAGCCCAAGGCTTTTTCTTTCTTTCTTTTTTTTTTTTAAGCAAACATATGATAGCTATCTATGCAAAGGAGTGTTACCCTTCAGTGAAATCTTTTTTAGTAGCCATTCCCTTATCTGAATTGTGTCACTTAAAATATTTTTGGAAGTTCTGTCTTAGAATTGTGCTTCATGTGAGTCTAAGAGGCAGGTAACCCAATGTCAGAACAAAAAAGATGCTAGTTGTCCTTCAACTAGTCTTGTTGGTTAGAGTATGCTTATGGTGGCCAGTCAGTTATGGGGGACCATAAATGAAAGGACATTGATAAGCTAGAACAAGTTAAGAAGAGGTTGACCTGAATGATGAAGAGACTCAAAACTATGTCAGTCAAAATATTGTTGACAGGCCAGGTGCCGGTGGCTCACACCTGTAATCGTGACTACTCAGGAGGCAGAGATCAGGAGGATCACAGTTCAAAGCCAGCCCTCGCAAATAGTTCATGAGACCCTATTTCAAAAAAAAACTTCACATGAAAGAGCTGTGGAGTGTGGCTCAAAGTGTAGGCTCTGAGTTCAAGCTCTAGTACCACAGAAAAAAAGAAGAAAGAGTTGACAGACTGAGGCTGTCAGTCCAGAGACAAAAGCATTCATAGAGGCATGATCACCGCCTTCAAGGGTGGCTATCTCGTGGAAGGACCACAGATGTTACTTGCTTAGTGTAACCCTGGGGTAATAGAAGTGGAAGTCTCAGGGCATTTCCTACCAACTGCTACCATCAAGTCAGAGTGGATTGTTCCATCCCAGGATGCATGAACTTCTGTCACAGTGGTTATCCATTTAGAGGGCAGATGGCCACTTAGACAAGAGGTCAGAAAGGATGGACAAACACTGGATTAGTGGTGAGAGGAACAGTGGAATAGTTAGCACTGTTGAGGCTCCTTTTCAACCCAAGTGTACTAATCATCCTAATGATCTAAACTTTTTAATACTGAAGTCTGTGCTGCTTACAATTTATGAATGTCTTTTGAAGAGTCATCAGTTTTACTCTGACCCTCATTGGCCTCAGATTATTGGACTTTTTGAATTCTTGTGACTCCTTTTTACATTTGAGTCCTTCCCTTTGATTGGGCTCAGTTCTCACATCTTAATGCTGTCTTTTTGCTTACTGTGTACATTTTTTTTTTTTTTTTTTGCAGTACTAAGGCTTGAACTCAGGGACTACACCTTAAGCCACTCCACCAGCCCTATATTTGTGATGGGTGTTTTCGAGATAGGGTCTCATGAACTATTTGCCTGGGCTGGCTTCGAACTGCATTCCTCCTGATCTCTGCTTCCTGAGTAGCTAGGATTACAGGCATGAGCCACTGGCACCTGGCTATTGCATGCCTTTCTTGAATCTGACTCTCTCTTCTTTAATTTGCTGCTACCAATTGCCTGAGCCTAAAACACCAAGTCTTCAGAATTGAGTCTGAGGGCCAAGCATGCTCTCTGATTGGTTAGACTCCTTAAGCTCTTTGAGGCCAATTGTGGCTGCAGTTGTGCCTCTTTTTCTTATTTCCTTATTATAAGTGGTAGTGAGGGGAGGCTTGTAGATAAATGGCCCCCCAAAGTTGAGGTGTTGCCACACAAGCCATTTCTCACTTAGAACAACTATTCTTAATTATCTCCAGTTCCTTCTGTTCTGCCATTGGCTACTTATTTTTAATATGTGTATCTTTTAACTATGATTATGTATGGAAACTTGGGGTAGTGATAAATGGGGATTCTCATAGTTTAATATGCATATTGTAATGAATGTATATTTGTGTAATTTTTATAAGAAAAACATTTAACTTAATTTACAGAAGGTGACATTTCAGAAGGCCCAGGCATACTCTGTCAAGACAGCCCGCTTGCCAATCCAAGAATACATGGTCAGGTGCCAAAATGGGAAAAACTTCCACTCAGAGATATTAGCTATCAATCAAGGTACTGTTTACATGGCCCACAGCCACTGTGCACTACTTCTGGAGCTGCTTGTGTTGTGTTTAAGTACGCCTGACCTAGTCTCCTGTGACTGATATGCCTGGAATTTATTACATGCATTTTGTGGCATGTATTCTGGCCACTGAGAGGCATTCTGCATTTTCCTTGTGGTCCCCAACTATGTTAAAAATAGTTGAAATTGCTCCCTTTGCCTAGAATGCCCTACCTTCAACACCTCATTAGCCAGTGACTTCTGTTTGCTCTTCAGGATCCAGTGCCAGGAGCATGTTAGCTGGCTTGCTCCCTCTCACAGAGAGCCCTTTGGAAATATGTTCCTTTGTGTTGCAGCATTGCCCATTCACAGGCCTCTGTCAGTGCAAGGTGAGATCCTTGTGAGCAGGCAGGGTTATGTCCTTCCCTCTGTCCTCCCAAGATAGAGCTTTTGTGAAGCAAAAGACATTTGTTCAGTGAAATATTACAGACACCCTTTTCCTCTTTAATCATTTACTAGTTCTTTTCCTGTCAATGGTCATTGTATTTTCTGTTTATCCTCTAACAGTATTTGATATCCTGTCTACCTACTTTGAGACTCATAACTGGCCTGAAGCACTGAAGAAAGGAGTTTCTTCGGGAAAAGGTTATGTTCTTCGGAATTCAGTGGAGTGATAGCCAGCCCAAGATTGCAGCTGCATGATACAAAGTGCTGGCGGTCTCTTGACCAAAGAACAGGGCAAAGGGTGGCAGTGGCACACACTTGCCTTTCGTTGACATTTTGGGTCTTCATAGTATTAGCTATCAATGACAGGAACCACATTTTATGCTTTTGTATCACCCACCGTGCCTGGTTCACAGGAAGTGCCCCAAGAAATGTTACTACAAAAAAAAAAAAGTTTACCTAACAAAGAAATTAGCCCTAAAATTACAAGGCTTTGAATATGTTCATTCATCTTTTGTACATCTATTTCTATTTGTGAAAGAACTACTTTTAGAGATTAAATAATTGATATATCAGGAACTTAACTTTCACTAATCTGGCATAAAATTGTATCTTTCTCCAGCCTATTTGAACATGCTGATTTTTTCCCCCAGCTCAGAAATATGCTGCACATAACCTTTGCAGTATCAGCCAAGCCTGGCCTGGCCTTCTTTTAGCCTCCAGAGCACTTTGTTTCCTCCTGTGGCTCTCACCCTGTTCTCCTTCTTCTAGTTATGGACATGGAGGGCTTCTCTCTTCCAATTTGTGAATAACTTCATATCTTTCTGAGCCTCATACAAACTTGGGTCATTCTACACATAATTAACAGACCAAATTGAAAAGCAAAAATATAGTACTGATAAATCTAAGTTGAAAACAGAAAGTATGCTCCAATCTGAAATTCAGTCGTGTTAGATAATTGACTTCTTATTACACAAATTTATCTCCTTGTGTCCTTCAGTTATTCTTGCCAGTTGCTGATTAAGCTGAAAGCAAATTCAGAAAATGTATTCTATATGTCAAAGAAACCAAAAGGTTACTTCTTTGCTCTACTCCATCCCCTTTACCATTTAAATCCTTGGTAACTGACCACTTGATAAATTGTTATCAGTGTGTTTTTATTAGTAAGATACCAGGCCACAGAAAACATCTTTACAAGCACATAGTGCTTTTTGGTCACTATCAACATGTTGAATGAAGGAGATAGTCTCATCTAACATGGATTATCTACAGGTAGGCCATCATTCATAGGAGATCCATCATTCATAAGAGATCTGTGACCCAGAACCACTGAACTTTTATCATCTGCCAATCTTCATGTTTACTAGTAAACACTTTGCTTAATACAGCAGATCACCCAACTCAAACCTAAGCCTCTCCCACTTATCCAAAACCATGAGGAGGTGTTTTTTTGTTAGGCTTCTGGTTCCCAGCTATGTCAAGATGAAACTGTTCCCTTTGCCTAGAATGTCCCCCCTTGAATCCTTCAATGGATTCAGAAATCCTCATATTGTTATTTACATAAAATTTTAAAAACTGAGTATTCCATATAACCCTCTAATATGAAAATGAAATACTCTGGAACTACTGAATTTTTAATAATCGCGAAAGAAATGGACAAAGTATATTACAAAGTAACATATAAGATAAACTAATTCCAATTTAAAAAACATATACACATACAGTGGTTGAGGATGTGAGCCAAGTTAAATTCTGTGTGTCAATTTCAACTATGTGGATCAGTATCTTCCATGGTTACTGGGAGTAAAAATGAAGTTAATCCATGTAAAAACACTTGGAGTAAAACTTGCTACATGGTAAACGTGATTATTAGGTAGACTATACTCTTCCACTGATTAATGGGATTACAGGTAACTTTTATTTGCTTCATTATACTTTAAATGCACTCAACATTTCCTCTGGTGAATAAGATTTACTGTTAAATCAGGAAGTAATTTAATGCTGACTTCCAACTCACTATAGAAGCTGTGCTCTAACAAAACCAAAGGAGTTAAAAATAGTAACTTTTTTGTGAAGTTTATTGTATAGAACAAAAAATACACCATAATTTTATGATGTTTTACCCACAAAAGCATGAGTGGAAACCAGCAACTTTCTTATAAAAATATTTTATTGGATTCTAATAAGACAATATGTCTATTCACATCTTGTCTTCTTAAGATCTACTAAGAAGAGGATCACCTGAAAAAAGTTTCCCCAGGAAACCTAGTCTCTTGGCTCAACCCATTAAAGAAGTCCACACTATCAGCTTTCTGCCAATCTGGCAAAGATTTGTTTCCTTTGATCTGTTGTCATGTTTTCACATGCTTCTAAAATGTTTGCCAAAATTAAAGTCTGCTGAATGGTTTTTGCCTTAACCCATATTCTTCCATTCATTCCAAACACAATCTCCAGTGGATAGAGCTTTCCCACTTCCTGTATGATTTCACAATCTGGAGCTAATAGCCTGGTGGGGAAGAGGAAAGAAAATGAAATTTAAGAAGTGGCAGGGTGTGTTCTGGCTTTCCATTACATTTCTTTTCTGGACAGTTCTCTGTAGCTACTCAAAGCCCTATCTGCATCATTTCAAAAACAGCCTATGATGACATTCACTGCCCTCTCGCTTGTTTTTGAGATGACTTCTCCCTATGTTGCCCAAGCTGCTCTCAAACTCCTGGGTTCAAGAACCTCTTGCCTCAGCTCCCTGAGTAACTGGGACTACTGGCATGTGTCACCAAGAGGCTTTCTACTTTCAAAGGTGTACTAGAGGTCACAATGGTGGGCTACCCTTACAAAGAAATATAACTTCCTATGTAACCAACTTTGCATAAACTATAAATGTACAAAGTTCTTCCTAAGATTATTAGAACACCTTAATTCTAGACTTCAGAATCACAGCTTTTTTATTAGCTGGGGTGCTAAGAAAACATCTTAAACTTACTTTCTTGACCATGTAAATTAGTCTCTGGTATTAAATTCAGTACTTGGATAAAAGCATCTTTGAAACAGAAAGGTGCTGCTCAGTTAATAACATGTTTTTCTAATGTCCCAAACTTAATCTCCAAATCTGCAGAATAGGCAGTAAGGAGAAACCTAGACGCCGCCTCTGGAATTCAGTGGCTGTAGCAGCAAAGCCACTCAATATGACACAGCTTTAGGTAGGTAAAACGGTCTAAACATCTAACAGAATCTGCCTCAGTGAGAACTACTGAATCAACCAAGACAGAGTAGCAGGAACCGTTCTGTAAATGTCTACATAAACTTGATCACATTAGCCAACTGCATTTGGCCATTAGAGAAATTTGATAATTTTGTACAAGTGCAGATTGCATCTGATTTCAAGTGACTTAGAATGGGAGAAAGGCCAGTTTTCATCTGTCAGTTACAAGGAACAGCAGGCCTGGGAGAGAAGAAAAAAATAGGACAAAAACTACACACCAAATACATCTGAATTTGACATATTTACATTAAGAAGGGGCAGAACTAAATTTATGAGTTTACAGATATGCTAAAATAGAAACTGACTTTTAGCTTTGAAGAGAAATTCAGATGTTAATGAACCCAAATTCATCAGCCTTCCAGGTAGGTATAGTAATTATACAAGAAGGCAGGCAAGCTAGTACTTACTAACTTGACATCAGTACTTACTTTCTAATCAAGCCCAAAGTCACTTTAAAAAGCAGACCGTCCTGTCCAATCACTCCCATTCCATTGGCTCGCCCACAGCTGTCAATACAGACCATTTCTGGTTCCATATCTTTATTAGCAACTACAAACTGGCCATAGATGAGATCTCCAACCTACAAGATATTAAAAAAATATATATACTCATTTCCTTTCAGCAAATCATTCTGTAGGTACTGCTATTGGCCTTTCCCATAGGCAGCAATGCCAGACACGAACAGTTCTGTGGCTAAAGAACTGACTACTTTGGGCTTGAGTCTTGAAGACCACAAAATTAATACATGTAACCCTTCCTTCACTCACCAGGAAATCCTCATGCTAGGAACTATCTCAAGCCCTAAGAATACCTTCTAAGATTGTACTGTCCAATCTGGCAGTCAGTACTCACATGTAAAAGTGTATTTAAAATCAAAATTAGATATTTAAAATGCTGTTCCTTACTTACATTAGCCACATTTAAAGTGCTCAAAAGCTACATGTAACTAGTGACTACCATTAGTCAGTGCAGATATATACCATCATTATAGAATATTCTATCAGTGCTACTCTAGCAAATTACACATCTGGTCAGAGGAAGGGAACTCCTGGCATGCAAATTATTCAAAGTAAAATGACAGTAATTCATGGTAACTCTTCATGGAAGATTTACTTTAAAACTACAGTTGAGGACTGGAGGTGTGGCTCTAGCAGTAGAGTGCCTGCTTTGTAAGCACAAAGCCCTGAGTTCAAACCCCAGTACCACCAAAAACACCCCCAAAAAACTATACAGTTGAACTTCAAAATTATGAAACTAAGGAAATGGAAAGTGAATTTTTCGGTTCATTTAACAAAACATTTATTAAGTACCTACTGTTTACTGGTGACTATATGAACTACAGAAGAACAAAAACCACTTCATGCCTTCTGAAGCATTTGGTCTTGCAGAGGGCAGTGGGAATAAACATATGAACACAAACTCCATTCAAGCTAAAACCAGTTAAGTACTAGAGGAAAAATATAAGAAAAGCAGTGATTAAGGATGACTTTACAGAGGTGACCCTGTTTAGCCTGGGCCTCAAAGGATGAGCATGTGTTCCACAGGCCGAGAAGGACAGGAACAGCCAGAGCAAAGGTACAAGGGCAAGAAATTGAATTCAGTGGTGTTTGGTGTGGTATAAGCATGGCTATATGAAGGACATAATTATGAATGACGGAAAACCCTTGGAATGTAGTATGAAGGAATTCAGTAGGTTTTGAAGAATCTTTTGTCTCCACCCCCCCCCACTCACTCTCTTTTGAGAAAGGAATTATGTGAGTATGAGGACATCAGCTCTCAAAAGCCCATATGGGGAGGTAAAAGTATGGAAGCAGAGGTGTTAATGAAGAGATCCTTGACTGAGTACTGTCAAAGGGAGGTAATGCCTACAACTTGCTAGGATGGACATAAAGATCATGGCTGGGCTGGTGGCTTATGCCTATAATCTTAGCTACTGGGGAGATGGAGATCAGGAAGATCCCAGTTCTAGGCCAGCATGTGCAAAATTTTCACAAGACTCCATCTCAAACAATAGCTGGGCATGGGGGCTCACACCTGTCATCCCAGCTACATGGGAAGCACAAAAAGGAAACCTAGCTAATGAAGCTCTGAGTTCAAGCCCCAGTCCCACCAAAAAAAAAAAAAAAAATGATTAAATTACTAAAGACCCATAAGAGGTGAATAAAAGGGGGCAAAAAAAATCTGGCTTGGATAGACAGGAAGAATACAGCTATACTACCCGAAAAGCCCAAATTGAAAACATGTGGTAACAAGATCACTCCTCTGTCAGCTTCAAAGATCTACAATTTTGATGGCCAGATGGCTGGTAATGCATAATGACAATGCACAGCATTTGTCCCTCCCCCCAAGCCTATTTGTGCAGTGGATATGGACATAACAAATATAACCTTTCAACTCATTAGAGAGAAAATATCCCAAGAGCCAATATAGTAAATGTAAAATAACTATGAAGCCCTGGTCCTAGAGGTGGAGCATATCTAACTCTTGGAACCTGGAGCCATTAAGCAGATGCCTGAAGATGATCCGGGAGACTAGAAGAACAGTTCATGCTTCCCCTTCTGAATAGCTGACTGCTCAGGGGAATGGATATTATTCTTACTGTTGAAACCAAAGGCTCCTATCATTACCTGCACGTTTGGTCTATTTCTTTTAGTTGCACCTTCAAATGCCAAGTAAGACAAAGAAGCTGGCTCACTCCCTCCAACATCAACTTTGAATATGTCTCCAGATTTAGCGGTCACTATGCCAATCACATGGTCTCCTTTCACAGGTACATACTACAAAAGAAAATAGAATGAGAGAACAGCCATAAATGACAACATATCTTTAGCAAGTCTTGTCTGTGCTGCTCAGGCTGCTCTCCAACTCCTGGGTTTAAGCGATACTCACGCTTCAGCCTCCCCAATCGCTGGGACTACAAGTGGGTGCTCCTGGGTGTAGCTCTGCAGCTTCTAATAATCATTTAGTTTCAGACGGTATCTCATACCTCTTCAGCATTTTTCAGAAGTCCCTAACTTCTGTGGCACAGGGATCCTTAGAGCCAAGGAAACCCATTCCATTGTAAGACTGTTTTTCTTATATGAAAATTCGTACTACTCTACGAGAAATTTAACTCCCCATGATTTCTACTCGTTAATGGTTCTACCTTCTGGGACTGCTGCTTCCTGACATTTGGGGTTTTGAAGACGCCTTTCTTTCCTGGTCGCCCTTCTCAGCTATGTTTCTATTATTCGTGGTTCCTCTAAAGAAGAGGCGAGGCGGGCACAAGACTACGATGTCTCTGGGGTACTCTTAACAAAGGAAGCCCCACGAAGTTCTCACGGAACCCGCGGCATAACTATCCCAGGGCCGGAATACCACTTTCACTGTCGCCCCGCCAAAGTTCCAGCTCACCCGCTTCTGTTGCGAATCCACCCAGTAAACGCCACCACCGCTGCCGCTGCCGGGCTCCTTGTGACGGAGGCGACCACACTTGGTAACCAGCAGGCGGTCCCCGCAGCGCCGCAAGCCAGGGCCGCACACTACCCGCAATCGGGAGCGCGTCCCAACATTCAGGCGCAACGGTCGCTCCCCTGCAACACCAGGACCTTCTACGTCCTCCTGTTCCGGCAGCAGCAGCTCCTCACCCGGGAGAACCACCTGATCTAACACAGTGCGCGCCGCCCGTGCCCTGCCGCCCGCGGGAGAGTCAGCCACAACCGACACAGCTTCAGCCATCGCGGGCGCCACCAAACACCACTTCCTGTGTTCGACTTCCGCTTCCGGCTTCGTATCCAATCCCCAGCCCGGTCAGGGATTTCGGCTTCCGGCAGTTTGTGGTCGGTGGGGCTGGGACCTAAGTCTGAATAGTCGCTGTCAGCCGGTGGGTCTGTTCCTACACCCGCAGGTGGCAGTGATTGTGTTTCTGGCAACTCATTCATCGTGCAGTCTGTCCATGCAAGCTTCGGTATGAGAAATGCGCAGCTTGAGTCGACTGAGAAGCCTCCTTTTCTGGTGTGTTGAGACTCGTACCGCCGGATACTAGGTGCTTCCACATAGGGTTCCGTGAGAACTCAGGGATCTGCACCGTCGAGCTTTGGGAATTGAGCATTGGCTGGGCTCGGAGGCCCTCCCTTCCCACATAGCCCGCAGAGGGATGGCCAACTTTTGCCAGAATTTTTTTCCCAAATAAAACCTATTTGGTTGTTGCTAGAGAAGATTTCTTATTTACATGGTGGAAAATACAGAAAAGAGTAAAAGGAAAAAAAAAATAGTGATCTTCGCCGTTTGTCTCCCTCACTATGCCGTCAGCTGGAGTTCGGATTCGTTGTAGGTCAAGGTCTGGCAGAAGATAGGTCATACTCGATGGACCTAACACTTCGGGATATATTTCTCCCTACACTTTTTTTGGTGCAAAATACATTACATACAACTTTTCACTTACTTGAACTATTTTTACATGGCCTGGGAAAAATAAGACCAACCCTGCTGCTACTTTTACTCGAACACTAGTTGCCCATATGAGAAACAGCTGAATCGCAAATCCACAGTACAAAAAATTGGAAGCACACTACAGAAAATTGGAAGGAATTTCAGGCCTTCCAATTTTCTAACTTTTTGGGTTCTTTTCTAAAATCATGTTCTGTATCAACTGGCATCTTCAATTAGTGCTTGGTCAAATTCCCCAGCGGTGATGAGAGCTTCTGGAGACTTGGAGGGTGTGATTCTGGCCGATGTTCCTTGTATCTGCTGCCCAACATGAATTTTTAGTTTGGGGAGGTATTTAAGACATCACCACTAACACCCCCTCCAAATCTGGTAAGTTGCTGGCGAGCCATTTTCCCTGGGCATAATAGGAGATCAACTGAAATACAACTTGTTCTGCAGTTAAGTTTTTTTAGTTCTTTGTTAGTCTCCCTGGCAGAGGCAGGGGCTCCCTGGGTAGAGATGGTATAAATTGTGCTTCTTTCTTCCCCACTCCAACCAAGTTGTAGAGGGAACCAATGACCAAGGTGACCAAGTCCACCTTGATTGGGAGTGGTTCAAAGCTATACTGAGAGATTGGCAGGCATGTTCCCTGAACAGGCCTCCCAGCTCAATAGTGGAGTCTCCAGAAGAAACAGTGTCCAGATCTAAATAAGTCCATTTACTCGGGGGGTGTGCGGGACGGCACCTGGTCACCAGCTCACTCCCAAGTGAATACAGAAAACAACTCAGGCCAACTGGGGAGTCTCCAAGAGCTGGGGGGAGGGGGCGTCAGAGGGAGAGCACGTCAACGCCCCATGGGCACCACCCACCGGACACGACAGAGGCCGCGCGGGGAGGCCACCTGCCCAGAGCACCATGTCGGTGCTTCGCCTTCTTGGGTCCTGCGGCCGCCGGTGAGTGGGAGCACGGGCTGGGCGGGAACTCCGGGCCGCGGTACCTGTGCTCAGGCCGGCCTCAGGGGGCGCGTGGGCCCGCAAGAAGCTTCTGGAGGCCGCTTAGCCTGGGGGCCACCATCTCTTAGCCTGAGGGCCTCGGGTCACCATCTCCCCATGGCTGGAGATTGCCAAATTGCCTTTTGGAAAGGTTGGACCTGGACTGAAACCTTTCGGCCTCCTTCCGGTGTTTACTACTTTAAATAGTTATTTAGTGGCGCTGGGGAATCGAACCTGGGACCTCCTTCACACATGCTAGGCAAGTGCTCTACCACCGAGCCTCATCACAAGTTGGTTACCTTACAAGTTAGAGAGATGGCATTTCAGGGTTCCTTTTCATTGTCTGCTGGTGAGGTTGTGTTCCATCCCCCTTAAAGACATCACACTTGAGCATTCATCCTGAGTAGGAATTGAACTGGGCAGGCAGCTGAATCCTGCTCCCTATCTAGGAGAATTCACTTCTCCACAGAAGATACTCCGTGGTGTGGTGGAAGTCACAAACTGATTAGAGCACCCCCACCCCCACCCCCAGTACAGGAGCTAAAATGATTAATCTACAGGGAGGAAAGTAGAGGTTATAAGGTGTCTTTTGAATAAACCTTTGGTATTAATTAGTTTTCAGATTCCTAAAAATTACAGTTGAACTGACTGCTGATTTAAATACAGAAATTAATAGCAAAAAGTGCTCATGGAAATATTGTTAATACCTTTATTCAAGTATGGGATTTAATCTAAAAATATAAATGCTCACAATTGTCACTGCACAGGAGTGTAGTTGCTACATGTTTTTAATCAAGAAGAAACATAACTTCTCACACACAGGACTTATTTTAGAAAGAAACCTAAGACTGCACTTTTTATCAACCAGTTTTAAATTTGTTTGCAGTTCTATAAAATATCTAATGCTTTGCCCATCCACACTCCCTAAGTCTGAACTTCTGTTATTAGTTAAATCTTATTTGAAATGGCATTCAAGTTGGATCTTGGTGTATCCATATAAAACCAGGTTTAAATACTCAAAATTGCATGACTTTCTGGTTTCCTTTTTTTTTTTTTTTTTAAATTCGTAGTTCTGGGGTTTGAACTCAGGGCCTTGAGCCATTCCATCAGCTCTTTTGTGTGATGAGTTTTTTCAAGACAGGGTCTCTCAAACTATTTCCCTGGCTGACTTTGAACCTCAGTCCTCCTGATCTCTGCCTCCTGAGTAGCTAGAATTACAGGAGTGTGCCACTGGTGCTACTTCCAACAGCTTTGCCATTTATCTACATTTCTAAAATAAAGACACATCTTTCCAGTTTACATTTATTCTCATTTTGGTGAACGTGTGTGTTATCATGCCACTGTTAGTCAAGAAAGAACTCCTGTCTCATAGAGCATAGCAAGAAATAGCAACAGTCTAAGGAGATGACTAAGCAAGAAATCAGGTTCTTCTACCACAATGCCACAGGTTGAAAAGTAAGTGAGATTTGGTGGATCAAACCAAGAAGTTTGTAACTCTTAAGACAGAAAGCAATAGGAGCATCAACATGGTGGTACTGGTTTCCTTGGACCTAAGTCCCATGGAGCCAATGGAATGGGTCCAGATGGTAACTACATGTAGTGGATTGCACAGGACAGGAACCCAGGCCCAGTGGTGTAACATCTTCTTTTTCTTTTCTTTTTTGCAGTACTGGATTTTGAACTCAGGGCCTCATGCTTGCTGGGCTCTCTACCACTTGAGCTACTCCACCAGCCCAGTATAGCATCTTTTGTAGTAAGCAACAAATAAACCAGTCTCCTTCTCCTAGGGAGTGAGCAGTTTCATGGTAGTTTTGCTGTGATCACCTTAACCCACATTAAACTGCTTAATATGAAGGGAAAGTCGGCCTTGTATGTGGTGCACCTAGAAACCACATACAGAGATGCTTAAGGCCCACAGCAGACTGCCTCTTCTATCAGAAGTCCAGGTCTTTCATCATCTGACTGTAGCTTATTTCTGCAGTGTTTTCTCACTACACTTTCTTCAGTTCTAAGTTTATACCCTTGTGGCCTATTCACCAAGGTCATTTTAGCTGTTGTCCTAGCTACTTGTAATGGATGATCTTAAATGTTAATTTGATTGGATTGAGCAATGCAAAAGAAATTAGTAAAGCACAATTCTAGGTATGTCTGTGAGGGCATTTCCAGAGACTACTGAGATGTGGGACAATAACTGACGGGGGAAAAACCCACCCTGAATGTGGGTAGCATCACTCAGTAGACTGGGAGCCCAGATGGAATAAAAGTGGGAAAAACAAGAAGCAAGCCAGTGCATGCAAACAGCATTCTTTCTGTGCAAGTGCATCTACTGCCCATGGACATCAGGCCCCAGCTTTGGCCTTTCAATGTGTACTCATATCAGTGACTCTCCAGAGAGCTTCCAAGACTTCATCCCTCAACTGGGTTTGAATCGTTGGCTCCACTTGTTCTGAGTCTTCTAGCTTCTTGGACTGAGTAGCTGCTGGGTTCTCTGGCTGTCCAGGTAGCAGATGGATATTGTTGGGCTATACAGCCTCCAACTGTGTAAGCCAATCTAGTAAATCCCCATATATATAATGCACTCTATTGGTTCTGTTCCTGTAAAGAACCCTGATTAATATACTACTTGTTCTCTGTTTTCTGTTGCTACACTGAGCACAGAGAACATACTTCACTTTTGCACAGAGTAACTGCTCAAGAACTATAACATGAATTAAAGAAAGAGCTTGAAATAGTGACAGCTGCATATGAAAGTTGTGTGTCGTGATGCTATTATAGGACTGTATTCATTCAGTGCTTTCTATATACTTGGTCCCAACATAAATGACCACCTGGAAGAGCATGAAGTGTCTCTGTCAGTCAGGGTGTAATCAAGAGGCAAAGCACACAGTGCTTTGAACAGGGAAAATTTGATACAAAGAATTAACTATAACAGGACATTGGAATAATAAGGGAATGGTTAATGACAACTAAAGAAGCTTTAACAAGTACAAGTGTAGATAATGTAAGGAACAACCATTACCTCCAGTGTTCATACAGAGTACCCAAAGAAGAGCCCGTCCCTCCCAGCTAGGGCTGATCAAGACCTTTCCAGACAGTCTGACTGTGGCTCATTGAATGGCAACAGTGGGAATGTACCAATAGAACTTTCCATAAATCCATCCTCCAAAGCTTGCTGGCACTTCTGAGGTGCAGGGTAAAGGTATTTATTGGGAGAGCTTTCCTAGTGGCCTCTGCCACAAAACTGCCCAAGAAGTGTTAAGAGTAACTTGACTGACTGGTGTTTCTGGCCACCAAGCAAAACGTCAGCAAGTGCTGAAGAAGCTGCTGAGCCACAGGAGTGCTACTGAGTACATGGGCCCAGGAAGCAAACCCTTCCTGTGATGCTTCTCCAAGGCCTTCTGCCTATAATGTTTATTGTCATGATAAGTAGCAAAGGAAAAATATTTTAAAGGCTCAGATCCATTTTCTCAGAGCTGGCAGTGAAGGGTGATTTTGGAGCTGAGAGGCAATATATTGATACATGGCACAAAGTCTCATGAGGCTGTAAATTGCAACTTATCAATAACAAGGTGGAGACTGCCCAGGCCCGGATGGCTTCAGTGGTAGGAATTCCAAACACTTAAAAAATTAATATGTCAGCTCAGTAGATGCAGCTAAACCATTTGACAAATTCCATTACCCATATTGTACACCACTGATATCCTGAAACCTATAAACTAGCACATCAAAGGCATTGTGTAAAATTCTGTGAGTTTCTGGGCCAGGGCAAACTCCCCAAATTTTTACAACTGCAAGATATTTCTCTAGCTTTACAAACACATTATGATCAATACCCCTTCTAGATTATTTAGAGTTTACTTTTGCTGTAGGTTAAAAACACTATGCTTGAGAAAAAATGGTAACATGACTTTCACCTTTGAAAATAACTTCTAGTTTTTATCTAAATAATGTAGGTAAATAATTTTTAAAGTCTAAAGGGCTTATGAAAAACAGCAAAGGGGGAGCAAAGGGGGGGAAGTTGGAATTATTATTTAATGGATACAGAGTTTGTCTGGGAAGATTAAAAAAATTCCTATCTATTGCCACTCTCTAGTTCTTACCCCAAAAATCAACCATCTATATCTATAGCTATTTCCTCTGATATGTTACCTCAAAAATATTGAGGTAAAATATTGCTTAGGCCTCTTAATTTTAAGGATACTTATGACTCTTTGACAGATAGATGAAGGCTTAGCTCTTCCCCTTTCTACACTTTTTACCCTTCCCCTTTTGTGAGCATATAGCATAGTTACAGCACAATTTTTGGTTAATTCATAAACCATTTTTTACAATATTATAATTGTGCAAATATTGTTATCTGATGTGCCAAGTTTTACATTGTATACAACCATTTGTTTTTCATGGGGTTAACGATAACCTCATTTCAATCAGTTGCCTGACATTCTACATAGTTCTGTTAATTTTCTCCAAGTACCCCAGCATCTAAATCTAGCATCTGTTCCTCTAAGAGCTGAGCCTCCTAGGGATTCTGTGGGGGCAAATGACTCACCTGTCTTCAGAAATCTACCTGTGGAAGGGCTGGAGTATAACTCAGTGCTAGAGAATGTGTAAGGCCCTGGATTCCATCCCCAGCACCACAAAACAAAAAAGAAAGACATCTACCTGTGCCTCTTTAGGTAATAATTATCTCCTTTCTGCTAGTTAGCACTTCCCAATCCACTGTCTGTCTAATGAATATTTGTTGAATGCTTTCAGTTGCTTTTGTTTCTTCCTGTCCTATGAATTTATACTTTTAAAAAACTCCTTTATTAGCTGGGCATCTAACCTTTAATCCTAGCTACTTGGGAGGCTGAGATTGGGAGGATCATGGTTTGAGACCAGTCCAGGAAAATAGCTTGAGAGACCCCTCTGCCTGATTTCCAAAATAACCTAAGCAAAATGACCTGGAGGTATGACTCAGGTGGTAGTGCACTTGCTTTGCAAGTGCGAAGCCCTGAGTTCAAATCCCAGTCACATCAACAAACAAGCAAATAAGCAAACAAAAACAAAAACAGGGAAAAAACCCCCTTTACTGTAGTTTAATTATACAACCAGCCCCCTATTGCATGGGCAATATGTCTTTTTATTAATGAAAGCAGAAGGTCTGCTGGAGACTATATTGGTTGTTAATTGAATTAAGTCATCTTCTGTGCATCTGGGTCAAACACTAGTCATTACATAGTTATCAGAGGCTGTGTTAGTTAACTTTCCATCACTATAACAAAGCCCGAGATCATCAACTTATAAAGAGAAAAATGTTGTTTTGGCTCACAGTATTGGAGGTTCAGGCTATGATTGGTTAGCCCCACTATTTTTGGGCCTGTGGCAAGACAGCACACCATGGTGGGAGCAGGAGCTGGAACAAAACTTCTCATCTCATGGCCAGGAAAGGGGTTGGGAGAAGAGACTGGGGTCCCACAATCCCCTGCAGGGGCCAAATGACCTAAAGATTTCTCGGTAGCCCCCACCTCTTAAAGGTTCTACCACCTTCCAGTAGCTTCACCCTGGGACGAAGGCTCTAACACATGGGCCTTTTGGGGAGTACTTAAGATCCAAACTATACCAGAGTTTTAAAACAATTCTGGCAGGGCACTCTGGGACCTAAAGTTTTTAAGAGGTTAGTTCTTCCATGCTTGTGAAACCTTCCCAAACTTTGGAGTCTAACAGTGCTGGATTTGAATCCAGATTCAAACATTAATCTCTGTGTGACCTAGCCTTTCTGATCCTTAATTTTCATATCAGTAAAATGCAGGATTGCAGGAGTATTGGAGCGTGTATGTAAAAAACCTCATACATAGTAAGCGCTCATGTGTAAGTTATTATTATTGGAATAAAATGATGATATCCTGGCAATCACTTGGTAAAATGCAGGGAGGTTTTACAGCTATTAGTAGTATCCAAGCTGGACTTTAAGCCAAGTATTGCAAATATTAAATTACTGGAATCAAAATGTCCCCTTCCCACATTGATTACAGCATTGCTTCATGTTGGCCCCTGGATCCTTTTCAGAATTGCTCAAGGCAGGGACTTCTGATCAGTAGGAACTGGCCCAGAAGATGGAAACTGCCTTCTCTCCTTTAAGCCCAGACCTAAAAGGGCTATCCAAGTCATTCTTTTGGTAGCTCCTCCAAATCTATCTTTGTTTCCTTTCAGTGTCTGCTTCGCCTTGTGACAAGCAGGATTTGGAAGAGGTTGCCTGTGCTGTCCCTGAATGTGCACCTTTATAAAAATCAGCAGGAAGAGAAGGCTGAACCCATTGGTCGTTACCCTGTTCCCTACAAGAAGGACCTGCCTTTTGACATTGTAGAGTTAATGGATGAGGTAGAAAGGGAGGTAAGCCACACACCTGGCACAGGGTGTCACCACCATTTGCAGACATTTGTCAGCCTGGGTGCAATTACTGGTACAGGCCGCTACAGTTTCTTTAAGTTCCCCACTGTGGATGGAACCATCCAGTGGGGTCCTGTTGAACTTCAGTCCCATATGTTTTCTTCTTATCTTAGGCACGGCCTCTTGGGTTTTGGGACTCTTCTTTGCCACTCAGTCCTCTGCCACTTGTGACTCAGGTGTTCTCTGTAGCTCTATTTAGCAATAAAGTATAATATGGAGATACAGCCATGGAGAATATGTGCTAGCTGCTTAAACAAGTGTTTAAGGTATTGTGCTCTTTCTTGTAAAAATTGATTATTAGAAAATTCAAAAATAATAAAAATCTGATTCCACAATACAAATTCAACCACTAATAGCATATTGATGTGTTTTCCTGTTTCCTATTTTCTTTATATAAATGTACATGTACATTTTCTTTAATTGAGGCCATGTTATCTTAAACATATTTGTAGGTCAAAACATTATTTTTACTGTGATTTATTTCAGCAATCTCCAAAGCTTGGACTTGTAACAGATTTTTATGTTGTGTGTCTTTGTACATACATCTACATCTATATTTGTGCATAAATCATTTTGTATATACCTGAACTATTCCCTGATGGGAGTTTTTAAAGGTGGGGATATATGCTACCAAACTTTAAGACCCTTCTTTATACATAGATATTTGCTCTAAACCTTTGTTTTTCAGACTTGGTAGTAGAATTTTGTACATGTTTTGCTCTTACATCTTTTTTTTTTTTTGTGGTGGGACTGGAGTTTGAACCCAGGGCTTCGTGCTTACAGAGCAGAAGCTCCAATTGAGCCAAACCTGCAGTCCAAATTTTGTTATTTTTTTCAAATATAATACTGCATGGAAATCACTATATAAAGATAATAACATGGAGGGCTCAGTGGCTCACGCTTCCCAACTACATGGGAGGTGAAGAAAGGACCATAATAGTTCAAGAACAGCCTGTGCAAAAAGTTAGGAAGACTTTATCTCAAAGAACAAGCTTTGCATGCTGGCTCCTATCTATAATACCAGCCAGATGGGAGGTAGAGGTTAGGAGGATCATGGCCTGAAGCTGGTCCCAGGCAAAAGTGGGAGACCCTATCTGAAAAATAACTAAATCAAAAAGGACTGGAGGTCATAGCTAAAGTGGTAGCACACCTGCCTAGCAAGTGCAAGGCCCTGAGTACAAACCCTAGTACTGCCAAAAAAAAAAAAAGACTTGTGAGAAAGGTTTGGAGCCCTGAGTACCATCCTCAGCTGTTCATCCCTTCCTCTGCCCTCTCAGCTAGTATAAATGGTTCTTTATGTTGTGTCCTTCAGACCAGTAATGAACCTTTAATATCCATTATCACTCAGGGGGCTTTTACTGACAGGTTCTAGAGAAAATCAACTTAGCTGGCATAATAGTCAGCCCAATTTAGAATTTCATGTAACTGCAGGTCCAGAGGAAGGGTGATTTCTGGGTTACTTAACTCATTGACTCAGTGATATCATCAAGGATACTTTTCATTTGTCTTCCTTATGGTGATGACTCTACTCAGACTTATTATATGCCCTCCTAGTCATTAGATGACTATAGAAGCTGCAAATATTACACCCTTGCACAGCCCCTAGCAGGGGAGTGGAGGGCACATTTTTTCCTCCTATCCCTTTTGGAGAGTAATGAAGGCTCCCAGCTCACTTCCCCTCATTTCTCATTAGACACCACGGTGTCTTGGCCAATGACCAACAAGTGAAATGGAATCACCATGGTTTAAACCAATCAGGACTCACCCACTAGAAGAGAACAGTTTAATTGCCCTCCCCAACCCATAACAAAATGATGTCTAAACAACATCCTTGTTCTGTTGTCAAGGAAAGAGGGAGGAACTGGTCAGTTGTGCTGGGCACTGGTGGCATATGCCTGTAATTCTAGCTACTCAGGAGGCAGAGATCAGGAGGATGGTAGTTCAAAGCCAGCCCCAGGCAAATAGTTTGAGAGACCATATCTCGACAAAACCCATCATAAAAAAGGACTGGTGGAGTGGCTCAAGGTGTAGGCCCTGAGTTCAAGCTCAAGTACCACACACTCAAAAAAAGAAAGAAATGGATAGTTGTCTGCCATAGCATTCTATTAAAAATATACCGATCGCTCAATATCAAAAAAAAAAAAAAGTATGGCCTTGAGCAAGTCACTCAACAGTTTCGGGCTTCAGTTACCTTTTCTTAAACTGGGGATACTAGCACTTGCTTTACCTATGTTATAGGGTTGTAGAGAAGGATAAATGAGGTTGTATTTTGTGAAAGAACTTTTAATAATACCATGACTTATGACTAACTTAATTCTAAGAAATAATGAGCACCACCTGCCCTTCTATGAGAAGGTAGGGCCTAACCAGGAGAACCTAAATTATAAGAAGTAACATTTGGTTAGTTGCTTCATTCACTCTCTAGATTTTATAAGATTACTCATCAAAAAGACATCATATATACCTTTAGAAATAACACTTATAATACGTACCCCCAAAGGTGAATGTATGTGTAGAAAGGCTATGACAGTAGCAAGCTGCTGTTCAGTAAATAATATGAGGAGTACTCAGTTACTATTAGCCTATTCTACTTTCAGTTTTCATTTTGTGTGACCTTGTCTTTTTCCTTTCCTGCAGACAGGATTTTTACCAAATACATTGAAAGCATTATCTTACCGGCCATTGGAATTCAGGGCCTTCTTTGCTTATTACAATGCCATCCTCAACAAAGAAACAGGTATATGGAAAAACAATGCTAACTTGTTCTTGGGTGAGATCTAGGTACCTGCTTCAGCATTTTCCTTCCCATGTGTCCCAGATCAATGGGGTTAGGGAGAAGCTCAGCTTCTGTGACTTCTCTGGATTCTAAGTCTGAGGCCTGAATGCAACTTTTTCATTACAGCTATAGAATGAAATAGAGTAGGTAATAACTCTGTGGGATGTCGTGATAAGTAAAAGTCAAAAAAACTGTCTGGGCTTTCAAACATACTCTTGAGAGGAGAAAACAGACAATGAACAACTGAACACAATAAAAGAAAAAGAATAAAAGAGCAAGTTGACTTCAAAAAGTTAATACTGAGAAGAAAATAAAACAGGGTTGTTGGTAGAAAGAGATTGGAAATGAATGTGTAAGTGCACAGGTGGATGAGTAGGTGGGTGGGCAAAGCCATTGCTAAACATGGCTGAGTCAGTCTAGATTCTTATGTGCTGTTGCCCAGGCATGTGGACAGGTCTCCTTTCCTCTTTCCTTCACAGGTAAGCTCAGCAAAACTGACAAGGAACTCATCATTGTAGTGACCAGTTTGGCCACCAGGTGCCTATACAGCGTGGTTGTCCATAGTGCCAAGTACAGGGTCTACTCAAAAAACCCTGTGCTCTCTGACCAGGTTAGTGTCCACCTCTCCTGTGCCAGTTTCTGGATCTCTTTGTACCTGAGGAAAGGACAAACCCTGTCACTATATGTTACAGTAAAAAACTAACCTCTGGCTCTTCCCACTGCTTGAGTTCTCTTTCAGACCCATCACTGTTCCCATATACGTGATGTTTGGGAACAGGGGGCAACTGAGCCCCATCTTTATTCTAGACTTGGTACTGGTTATTTGGCATAATTCTCTCAAATACACACAACTCCTCGTCTCAGGCAAGCCTTATTATAACCATTTTATACTTGAGGTTCAGAGATTTAATTTAGCATGCAACATACAAGTATAATGTGGCAGAGTCTGTTTTCAAACTTGCCCTCTATCTATTGCATTACACTTTGTATTTTCCAGTGTGAATTTTGTCCATCAACTAATTATTCATAATGGGCCCAAACCAGCTTTTCAGATTTTCTTTTATTTCTTACTGTTGGCCCTGGGCCTTGACTTGTCTGTTTATTATTCTGGAATGGTCTCCATCTGCTCTTGCCCACCAAGACTGGGTGTGAAATGGGTTTCAATCCCCCAGTCAGCAATTTATCTTGTCCTACCTTGTCCTTGCTTCATCTGAAGTCAAAACCTTTGGGTTTCAGAGGTCATATTATTTCCAGAGAAACGGGCTGAGGATAAAGACAGCAAAAGTGGGATTGTCACCAAGATTGCAAAGTCCAACTGCTCCTCAGTGAAATCCCTGATCCTTAGGACTGGGGAACGGAAACACGTGTTCTCTGAATTTATTCTAAAATTTGGGTTCACCAGTCTCCCTACCCCTAACCCTCTCTCCTGACCTGAGTGGAGACGTGGTAAACTGTTCCCTGAGGGCCTCTATTGCCAGCCTGAAGGAAACTTCCAGATCATCCCCTTTACCCTGCTCAGTACCTCCTCCCTAGTCACAGAGCCTTTGCTCATCCTGGATTGCTTTCCTAGGCATTGCCCTCCTGGTGTTCACAGGGGATGCCCTCATATCATGCATTGCTGAAATATTCTTCTATTTTTAGGTTTTAATGATTTCTAGTATTTTACTTTATCAAAGATAATGATTAGTATGGCCTTTGAAACTTAGTATACTTGGAATCAAATCCCAGCTCTGCCATACATTAGCTGTGTGATTTTTTTTTTTGAGGTACAGGGATTAACCCAGGGCCACTTGAGCCACACCCAGGCTCTTTTGTTTTGCATTTGTTTTTGAGGTAGAGTCTGGCCTCAAACTCATGATCATCCTACCTCTACCTCCTAAGTAGCTGGGATCATAGGTGTGTACCACCACATCCAGCTTAGCTTGTGATCTTGGGGAAATCACTTCACCTCTTTGAGCTGCAGCTTCTTTGTCAATAATATAGGGAGGATAATAAAAATATGCTGCCTACAACTTTTATAAGAATTAAATGAGATAGCGAATATGAAACATAGAACACATTCTTAAAACAGAGTAACTGCTAAATGTGGTCTACTGATACTGCAAAATATTATGTCTCATTTGGGATTAACTGGAGGCAAACAGCCTTTGAGCTGAGCTCCACTTTTCTTGTATGAAAAGGTTGAGCTTTTGGGTCTGTGGTCTTGGTTCCAGGATTTTTAAAAGCCAGGTTGTTTACAAGGAAGGTTTTGTTTTGTTTTGTTTTTTAAGAGACAGTCTTGCTCTGTTGCCCAGGTTGCTCCTAAACTCCTGGACTCAAATGATCCTCCTACCTCAGCTTCCTGAGTAGTAGGGACTATAAACATGTACAACCACGCCCAGTTGGAAAACAGGTTTTGATAGCTGGAGTGAGCAAAAAAGACTTCTTGGTAGAGGTGACATTGAGCCAGAGTTCCAGGTTTACACTACATTGGACTTGACCAAGATACTTGTTTTGGTCTAACTTTGCACACTTTATTCTAATCTTCAGTTTTTTTCATTAATGCCAAAGTCATTAGGTCTGGTGCTTTATTGGCTGTATTATAATGGACAGAGTTTATGATGATTCTCACAGTGGATTTTCTTGCAGGTCTGTGTGAATTGGAGAAAGTCCGACCTCTCTCCTCGGGAAAAAGCAATGCTGGAGTTTGCACTTGCTGTTTCCCAAGCTGACGACATAACAGATGATCATTTTAAAAAGCTTGAGGTGCATGGCTTCGATCGAGAAGATGCCTGGGACATAGCTGCCATTTCAGCTTTTTATGCCATGGCCAACCGCCTTGCTCATTTTGTCAATCTCATTCCCAACAAAGAATTCTATTTGATGGGCAGAACCAGTGATGGTAAAATCCAAAGGGAACTCACTGCTCCCTAAGTATAAAAGCCTAACAGGAAAGGACGATGTTAATTATGTCAGTCATATTGCATTGTAAGACATCATTTGGGAGGTAACTTAAAAAACAAAACAAAACATCTAGCCATTGGATAAAGAAGAAAGTAAATAAATTTGTTCCCTCCTGCTCAATAAGACAGATCCTAAGTGTTGTGAGTATCTAGGGATATGTAATACTTGGGCTTGGGGAATACATTTCAGAAAATCCTTGCTAACTGTTTACCTGTGTTGTGGACCATAAGGTGTAAAGGAATTCAGAGGATGCTTTAGGGATTTCTGATGAACAGATATCTAACTGAATTTCAGCTATTAAGGTTGAAAAATTTTTTGCTTTCCAAAATGGTGTTACATAGAAATATCTATGAACACTGATTTGAAATCAATTCCTAGTTAACACAGTTGTATTTAAAGACTCTAAAAGCTAGTAGGTCAATAGGAACAGGCTCAGTTAAAGTTTAGTTCTATCTTTAGTGCCTTGTCACTTAACCTGTGATTTTTTTTTTGACTGATGCATATAGAAGTTTAGTCCTTTGAAAGTATTCTTACTTTAGGTTTTAGTAAAAAATTATTTGTATTAAATGAGCATGCACACTTAAGTAGGAGCATTTAAAAAAAAAACAGCTCACTCAATTGTTCTTTGCTTGTAAAACAAAAACAAAACTGGCATTACTAAATGATTTTTTTCTCTGTGTTAGGACCACCACTCCCTTAAGTTTTCAAGAATCATTCTCACTATCTATATGATAGAGTTACACGCAAACCTACAAAATGCTTTTGCTCCAATTTGGTTTTTCCAGATTCTCTAAATTGTCAGTGAACAATTTTTAATCAGCTTTGGTGCTTATGATATGCTAATTTTGAATCCCCTGAACTGTGATAATCTGAGTATCTTGAGCCATCACAAAACTCATTGCAGTGCTGGTGGAGTGGCTCAAGTGGTAGAGAGCAAGAGGCCCTGAGTTCAAACTTCAGAACCTTGGGGAAAACAAAAACAAACAACAATATAAAACCTCATTGCAGAGCTCATTTTTTAATTGGAATGATACCTCAAATACCTTGGAACTTGTAACTTTAAAATTCAAGTTAATTTTATTTATTTAAAAAGGTAATCATATTAGTAAGTGTGTCATAGTCAAGATTTTGCAGACCATAAAATTCTGTCCATAACTGGGGTGGGGTGGGGGGCAAAGGCCTCTGCTTTTGCAAATACTTTTTTAAGTATTTGTTGCAACCAGAAGTTGGCGGTGACTAGGCACATTATTTGTTAAACATAAAACAGACCTCTAACCCTTCTGCTCTCTGGGGGCAGCATGATAAATATCTCAAGTATAATAACTGCCTTGCTCTTCTAACCTAGGACATTTGCTTCTTGCACTTTTTAAAGTCAGATCATGAACAGAAAAAAAAAATCTTTCAGATCTATCCTCAAAGGGTAGATTTCCCTCCAGATTTACCACCATTGTCACCAAATGTGAGCTTCCTACATGTCTCTTGATCAAAGCCTAGAAAATTTGTCAGTTCTTATATCTGCCTTTCCTTGTAACTCAAAGTTTCCTTTGTTGAAGACTCTGCTTCCATCCCCAAGAACCCCCCAGGTCCTGTAAACAGTTTTCTGCAAACAAGTCCTGTGTGTTCATCTTCAGCAGTAGTGAGGATGCCTCACTTCTGTCATGGCTTCCATGCCCCACCTGTCAGATCTAGTAATAAGCAGAACCGACTGTGGGTTCTGCCCCTTGGGTTGATTTGATTCAGGTCTCTAGCTCCCCTCAGTTTACTCCTAGCTGGATCTGTGCTCCTTCTTGCGGGGAGGATGGCTCTGGCCTTGATAAAAACTTGACCTACTGACCAGTGGCTGGGAGTTAGGCAGGTATCCAAGGCACCCGCTTAGTTCTATGCACTATGAGGAACGGAGCTTCCCTCCACCCTTTCTGGGATTGAACCCGGGGCTGTGCGCTCTCTACCACTTGAGCTCCAGTCTCGGACCGGGGCTTTCAAAATGCAGACGTCCTTAACTTAAGTACTTAGACTTCCAGAATGAGAGGGCGGTGTGCCAACTACTTACTATGTGTGACCTGCACGTAATGCGGTAATCCTTCTCCTACCCATCTCAGTCATAGGATGACTGGTCAGGCCCACAGCCACCGCTCACTGACAGCTACAGGTCGCCTCTCACCCGCCATACAGCTAGCTAGTCGCTCTTGACCTCGGTCCTCCGTGGCCGTGGAGCCCGCAATCCGGCGGTGTCTCCGCTTTCCAGGTCCCCGGCGGAGGGCAGACGAGCGGCGGCGCAGGTTTCCCAGCCGGCGGGCTTAGGACGCCACACCCGGAAGTGGCGGCTGAAGCGGGAGCCTAAGCTGAGGTGTAGGCCCGGGGAACCGCAGCCCGGACTGGTGGGCCGGGGGGCTTTGGTCATGTTTCCCTTCTGGCCCCGTAGCCCCGACGGGGACCTTACGGCTGGGTCTGAGGAGCCGGGGCCCCAGGGTGAGCAGGCGGCCGCGTCCGGGCCGCCCTCTCCGGCTTCCCCGCCTGCGCCTCCACAGCCCCGGGCTGATGCGGCCCCTCCCCCGCTGGCCGCCCGGAGCCCTCGCCGTCCCGGCGCCCCCGTGCTGTCCCCAGCCGCGCGCGCGGGCGAGGTGGCGTCGGCGGGAACTCTCGAGTCGGCTGCTTCCCCCCAGGGACATCCGTCGCCGCCATCCCCCCCGCGCCGGAGGCCGGGACCGGACTGCAAGGCCGGGAGCAGGGGCCGACAAGACCCGAGTGCAGGCCTGGGCGGTCCTGGCGCCAGACTATTCGGGTGGTTGAGAGAGCGCAGCCTGGGCCGCGGGCTGTTCGTGGACCCGGCGAGGGACAATTTCCGCACGATGACCAACCTCTATGGCTCCATCCATCCCGCGGACTCGGTGTACCTTAGCACCCGCACGCACGGGGCCGTCTTCAATCTCGAGTACTCGCCCGATGGGTAAGCGCGGCCCCTTGGAGGGCGGGACCCGCTGGCGTCGCCTCTGCTGCCCGCCTGGCCCGGCCTCCAGGCCCCTGATCCCTTCAGGGACGCATCTGCCCCAAACTGTCAAGAGCCACCCAGCAGGTCTATCAGTCAGCCCAGAGCGAGGGCTTTGTGGCACACAGTAGGCGCTCATTAAATGCATTTTCAATAAATGCCCATTCTTTGGTTTTCATCCTAGTGTTGCTTTTCTCTCATCTAAGCTGGTGTCAAGGGTAGGGAGAGCCCAGTGCCTGAGTCTGCCCGAGAGGAGGCAAGTGTGCATTCATCTGCTCGAGAACGATGCTAACACAACTGCAGAGGGGAGCTTCTCATGATTTAGGACATTATGAAGTTCCCAGGCTAGATTACAATGCTTCTTTTAAGTGTTTCCAGCCTTTTTTTTTTTTTTTTTTGCTGATTAGACATTTAGTGTTTGTTTCTTAGGGAACTTTCAAAATAATATCCGGAATATATTTAAAACTGGGTCTTGTGAGTACACAAGTTTAACAACAAAGGAGAAAATGCACATAATCCACCTTGTGATGACATAGTTAACATGATTCTTACCATATCAAGGCTTCTGGGTTGGTAGTATTTGTTTAGTTCTCATTCATTCCCCCTTTCAGCGAAATGTTCCTTGAATACTTCCTATGTTGCGAATTCAGGGATAATAATGGTGAGCCAGACTAGCTAATGGCGCTACTTTCATTGGGTTTGGGACCTATTGAGTTTCGGACCTATCGGCTCAACTAGATATTAGTCATACTAAATAATGTATGTTTACAAATTGAGATAAAGGCTGAAGCCTCTTGGACTAGGGTGCGTTTGATGTTTCCCTGGGGAAGTGACACTTGAACCTAGATCAGGAAAGTTAGTAGGAGATAAATGAGTCAAGATAGTGTTGTAGAGGGGGGTAGAAGTATTTCAGATGGAAACTGGTATGTCCAAGGATCTAGGAACCGACATGGTGGCCCATGCCTGTAATCCTAGCTACTGTGGAGGGAGAGAGAAAAGGATTGTAGTTGGAGGTCAATGCAGACAAAAAGATACCCAGACAATCTTAGCAAACAAACTGGGTGCAGTGGTACATGCCTGTAAATCCTAGCTATTCAGTAGTGATGCAAGGCCATCTGGGCAAATGCAGGAGACCCTCTCTGAAAACAAATTAAAGCAAAAATGACTGGAGGTGTGGCTCAAATGGTAGAGCACTTGCCTAGCAAGTTGGAGGTCCTGGGTTCAAAACTCAATACCACCTACCTCCCTCCGGCTCCTCCCAGAAAAAGAAAGAAAAAAGGACCTGTGGGAGGAAAGACATGTGTCATGTTAGGGATGTTGAAAAGTGAAGCACATTTTTTTTTTCTGAAGAAAGACCTAGAATGTGCCAAGGAAGGAGTAAAGGAACAAAATTAGGAATTACTATGAATAGGTAAACCTATCTCATTTCACTGATGCAAATGCTTCTTCCTAATTATACCTGTTGTTAGGATCTCTGGAATTTCACCTTATAATAGTTGGATGGAGCTTATAGCAGTAGATCTCCTGAATAAGGCAGAAAAGTTTGATGAGAGGAGAAACTTTTTTTGAAGCTTATTCATAGAACCTTCTCTCTTCCCTCCTTTCTTCCAAGCACTGAGAGTCTGTTCCTCTTTATATCTCAGCTGCTCATTCCCATCCTCCTACCAATACTTTCAGGACTTTTAAGAAGAAGCTGTGACTACTCCTTGAAGGTGGAATTTTAGATAGAGAATGGTAATGGTAGAATGAATTATGAAAATTGAATTCAAATTGCCAGGGTTACTAAAGAGAGGGGTATACTACTCATAGTTTTTACTTGAATCTACTGCATTTTCCCAGAAACATGTTTTTAAAAGGTGGTTAGGTACTCTGATTCTTAAAATGATTCAGGAATTTTTTGTTATGTAATATATGCTCGTGGAAAACTGAAGTAATAAATGAACTAAACATCATTTATGATCCAAGATTAAGTGTATTCCAAGGAAACTTTTTGTTTGTGTAGGCTTATTTTAATATAAACACATAATAATGATGTGTAGGTTGCTTTTTTTATATTATGAACTACTTGTGTTAATTAATGTATTTCTTCAACATTATTTAAAATTTTTCATTACTTTAAATAAAAATTCTATGAACATATATTTTAGATATATGTCCTTTGGTTAAATCCCTAGAATGAGTCAAAGATTAGATTTTTGATACATATTGCTAAATTGCTTTCTGTGAAGATTATACCAATTCTTGTTCCTATCAAACATGTGTGGAAGTGCCTGTCTCCCCAAACCCTTGCCAACACTGCAAAGTGAAAATAATTCAGTGTCTTTTTCAGTATTCTTACTTTATCTACTAGTATGTCCAACATTTGCATAGGAGGTAAAGTAATGTTACAGACAGATCACATATTTGTATTAGTGGAGATAATCTGTCATATCTTGCAGTTGAATTTGTGTTAAGTCAGCTTGCAAAGTAGGATTAGCACTATCACAAGGACTTCTCAATACAGAGAAAGAGGAAAAACACAGAATGCAAGAATTAAATTTGTGATTTTTTTTTTTGTTTGTTTTTTGTTTTCTTGCAGGGGGATTAAACCCAGGGCCTTGCACTTGCTACATAAGTGCTCTACCGCTGAGGTACATTCCCAGTCCCTAAATTTATGGTGATAAAGACCAAATTCTAAGGAGTTTGGTACTAAAAGAGAAATGATAGGATATATGGACTAGAAGGTAATTTCCAAAGAATTCCAAAAATGTTTTAAGTGATAGCAAAATTGTCAAAATAAATATGTTATCTCCTAAGATGACATTGTGAAAAATTTCATAATGTTATTAAGTTATATGCTGTCCTCTGTGAGAACACACTAGGCAAGGGAAAATTAGAATATTGGAAAATAGAAGTGAAGTAATTATCCAGAATGCAGACCAGAGAAACTCAGAGATTGAAAATGCAAAGGAAATTTAGTAGCATAGAACACAGAAAGAAAAAGCCATATATTTATTTAGTCAGGCTTCCTGAAGAAAATGATATAGGTAATGGAAAGAGGGGAGGGGAAAGAACCTGTTTGAAGAGATAATAACTGAGAACTTTGCAGAATTGACAAAAGGCACCAAGCCATGATTTAAGAAGCCCAACAAACCCTCCCTATACATACTGTAAAACTGCAGGAAAAAAAACCCCACATAACATAGTAAATGATAAGAGGGAAAAAGACCTTAGAGGAGTAACTATTTTAGCCAATTAGTCATCAATAATAGTGTAAAAAAAAGAAAAGAAAATGGTGGTGATTATTTTCCTTATTCTGAGAAAAATCCTCAACCTAGATATTTATATCCCACAGATTTTTTTGTTCTTGTCAAGAGCAAAGATGAAATAGAAACATGTTCAGACAGACTCAAGTTGAGTGAGTTTGCCAGCAGACCATCAATAAAGGAATTAAGTTCAGAGAGAAGGAAAGTGTTTTCAAATGGCAGGTCTGAGATGCCAGAAGAAGCTAAGGGCAAAGAAAGTATTATGTAAAACTAAATTAAATAACACGTCTGTGCCGGGTGTTAGTGGCTCATACCTGTAATTCTAGCTACTTGGAAGGCTGATACGGGGAGAATCATGGTTTGAGGCCAGCTTGGGCACATAGTTTGTGAGACTCCCTATCTCCAAAATAATTAGAGCAGAATAGTCTGGATGTGTGGCTCAAGTTGTAGTGTGTCTGCTTTGCAAATGGGAAGCCCTGCGTTCAAACCCCTATCCTACCAAAAAAAAAAAAAATCAATAATGTGTTTGGGATTAATAAAGTTGGAAATAAAATAGAAAGCAGCAATAGCATATATATATAAAATGAGAGGATATTGTAAGTTCCTTTTTTTAAGGAAGAATTATATATTTATATTATGATATATTAACTGTAATAAGTATGCATACTAAAATTTTCAAGGTGCCAAAAAAAGAATGTATAATTCATAGACTTGTAGAAAATGTATGGAATAAGGAATAAAGTTCCAAAAGAAAGTATAGGAAGGTGAATAAAAAGGGCTGGTGGTGTAGTTCAGTGGTAGAGAGCACTTGCCTAGCATTTGCACACACACGCACAAATGTATAATAAATAGAAAGCACAAAGCATAGCTGAAAATAAATCCAAATATTACTAGTTACAATATAAAGGTATTAGATGTTCTAATTAAGAGACAAAGATTACCTGGGCATAGTGGTACATACCTGTAGTCCCAGTTAACTCAGGAGGCTGAGGCAGAAGGATCTCGAGCCCATGAGTTTAAGACTGACATGGGCAACATAATGAGGCCCTAGCTCTAAAAATAAAAAGATAAACATTGTTCAATTACCAGGAAAAACAGTAAAAGGATATAGAAAGATACATCAGACACATTCTAAAGAAAACTGGTAAACTATACTAATAAGAGAATAAAGTAGGCATCAAGACAAAATAATCACTAGAGATAGAAGGCCACATCATGATGATGATAACTCAGTTCACCTGGAAGCGTGAATGGGCATGTGTCTATGGATTTAAGTGAATCTGACCCTGAATGAATCTTAGATTTAAAATATAAGCATTAAGATTTAAGAGTTCAAAGAGAAAACAGGTAAATTTACCTTTATAGGGAAAGATTTTAATGCACATTTTAGTGTACCTCATTTATCATGCAGGCACAAACATAAGAAGGACATACAAGATATGAACATCATTTAAAATGTTTCTTTAAGCCAGGCGCCAGTGGCTCACACCTGTAATCCTACCTACTTGGGAGACTGAGATCTGGAGGGTCATGTTTCCAAGCCAGCCCCGGCAAAAAATTTCGCAAGACTCCATCTCAACTGAAAAAATTAGGTGTGGTGGCACACATCTGACATGCAACAGTAGGAAGCCTAAAAGTAGGAGCAAAGAGAGCTGGCAGTGTGGCTAAAGCAGTAGAAGTTGTACCTCGCAAGCATGAAACCCTGAGTTCAAACCT